ATACCTTTTTCCTAATAATCTACACATCACATCCTACTTTTACCCATCACATCAAGGGTATTTTTGGAAAGTCAACATAAAATTATCACTCCCTTAATTTCAACTTTAGTCAAAACGTGTAAATCTTTTTGGGACAAAGGTAGTAAACATGAGCATCTTTAAGTGAGAGAGAAAGTATAGTTTAATTTATTTTGTTAGCATCTTCCAAATAATTATAGTTTAGGGTTTGGGCGCCGACAGAATGAAAAATTGAACTGATTTTATTTGACACAAACACGGTTATTTTTCTTTTTTGAGAAGCAATACGAAACTCAAGTTCACGTTAACAGATTGCTGATTGGGTTTTCCAAGTGCTAATTAACTACTCATAGTTGTCTAATCTTTCTAGTACTTAGAAGTTTGAGTATTGTCATTTCAAGAATCCTAATCACATGTCCATAATTCTACATTAGCAAAGATTGATAAACTTCCTCTTTTGACTTTTAATTTATGGATGGTAGTATTTTTGTATTAACTTTTCAAAAATACTTTTAATATAATGAGATAAAGTAGAATATGATAGTTTATTACTTCCCCGAGTTCTTAAAATCTTTCATGTTTTGACTTTTTTGGATCACAGTACGGTCAAATTCTTTGACCATAAATTGTGAGAAAAATTTATTTAATTATAATATAAATTTAGTATAATTGGGTTTATTTTAGGATATAGTTTTGATATATCAAATTTTTATAAAAGTTATTTATTTAGATTATGTTTGTTTATGATAAAAAATTTCGTTGTTTGACAAAAAAGTTAAAACAAGAAAAGTTTTTAGGACCAGAGTAGTAAATAGATATAATGTGGTAGGTATAGTAAAAATTAATATTCCCTCCGTCCCTAAATAAACTTCCCTTTTGACTTTTTTAGGATTTAAGAGAGAGATATTTTTGTGCTGACTTTCTAAAAATACCCTTGATGTGATGTGTAAAAGTAAGATGTGATATATAGATTATTAGTAAAAAAGTATGATGTGATAGGTAGGGTATAAAAAGTAAGGGTAAAAGAGGTTTTTTAAGGGAAAAGAGAAGTTTATTTGGGGACAAAGAAAAAACGAAAGGAGAAGTTTATTTAGGGACGGATGGAGTATGTAAAAGTGATTTTTAATAGAAAAATTAAAGACATTTTTGGGACAAGGAGAAAAAAGAGAAAACTTCTTGGGACTACAATATAATACTTTGAGCATTAATAATTATGAGTATATTTAAAACAAATTAAAATAATTACGAGTCCGTATAAAAATATATAACTACATTTCAAAATCATCTTAGGGATATTAAATTGTTGATTTTGTTGCCATTAACACAATATTAATTTCAAATTTCACATAAACTAATACTCCATACATCCTTAAAATTCATTTCCTTTTCTTTTTTTGTCCTACAAACTCTTTCTTTTTTCTATTAAAAATTCACTTTTATCCATATTAATTCGTAATCTACTTATCACATTATATCTTTTACTAATAATCTATCAATCACATCCTACTTTTACCCATCAGATCAAAGGTATTTTTGGAGAATCAACGCAAAATTTTCACTCCATTAAATTTTTCAAAAGTCAAAATGAGAACATCTTTATAGGACGAAGGAAGTATTATAATGGTGTCATTGGTGTGTAGTAACACTAGTACCTCCTCGATAATAATCTGCATATGCACTCTTTTAATTTATTCAATAACAATAATAATACTAATAACAATAATAATAGTAATTCAACAAGAAACAATACACTTAATAATGTTGGAGAGGATATAGAGAAGAAATAATCTTTAATCCATGGAAATATATTTATAAATAAATGTATATGGTTGCGGACAAGTTAGCGTGTTATACATACACATATGTGCATGGTTCATTATATTAGTTGATGATCCACTAGTCGTAATCAACTTTTCATCTCAATTTAATTGAGTTCTTAATTTGCACGACGCATGTACCATTGTATTATTATTATCGCTTCATCATAATAGTTAATTAATACCCCGTCTATATATTCTCTTCAATCTATTCTCATTACTTTTTACGTAATCTTATTAAAATTAGTTTAGAATAAATCAAAAATATTTTTAAAAATAACTAAATTCTCTACATTCAAATCAGATCACATTAGGCAAAATTAGAATATATATCTCAATCAAATCAGAATCATTCATATCATGTGAACAGAACAACAAGCCCTATATTATCGAATTGAAAACGAGATGGCTTATGCATTAATTCATTAATATGATGATTGAGAAAGACAAAGACATGGAGTACTAAAATAATACTAATTCAAGTAATTAACGCCCAGCTAATTATATTAAGGCTAGCTAGCCAATATATATTCATCATGCAAAGCGTAATGCATGGAGACTGGAGAGCACTGCATGCCACAAATTAATAGAGATGTCAACATACGCGTGGCCGACGACGTGGCCGCCTGCTATTACTTCTACGTGGATTATTATTACTCCCTGCCTTTGAAAAAGAATGTCGTATTACACAAATAAAATGAAGTTTCAAATTTTTTTAAATTTAAATAATCAATGGAAAAACACGAATGGATAAAAAATCACATGATATTTTAAATTCTAAATTGTGACATTCTTTTTTAGACAAAACAGTATTACAAAAAACTTGTCACTTTAATTTAAAAAAATTCAAATAACTCAAATACTTATCTATCACGCTAGTATCTCAGTGGCTCCACTACGCCAACATGCATGGCCAGCATGGGCCTCATAACTTTAACTCTAGTTTACAACTTTTCAAAATATTAAAAAGACGTGTTTAGAATTAGTTAAAGAGCAAATGAAATTTTCTTAGCTACAAAATTTTTTTAACGTCTAAATGAAAAGGAAGTTTTTCAGACTAACGAAATAGAAAGACATATTTTTTTTAAAAAAAATATCACATTCTTTTTTATTATAAAAAGAACACGTTAAATTTTTTCTCTTTTCTGCCTGCTATTACATCTACGTGGAGTATGTTTACTCCCTTCGTTTAAAAAAAGGCAGATGTCACAAAACAAAATGAAACTTCAAATTCTTGAAGTTCAAATATTCAATTAAAAAACAAAAATAAATAAAAAAATTTCATAAATTTTTAATAATGAAGTGTGATAATTTTTTATTATAAAAAAACTCATCACTTTAACTTGTTTTTGAATAGCTCAAATACCTGTCACGATGGTATCTGTTCAATCTTATGATCTCAATCTCTTAATTAAATGCAAGGATTACATTGAACTTGAACACTGGATGTGGAGAATCTTAGAGTGGTGTGATTAGAATTAGTTAAAGAACATATTTTTGTGAAGCAAGAAAAATTATTCCATCCATTAAGTAAAATATTTCCTCTTGCATTTTCTTTCATTTCCCAAAACATTTCCAATGTATATAAAAAAAATCACTTTTATTCATATTAATTCTCAACTTACTTATCACATCATATTTTTTACAAATAATCCAAATATCATATTCTATTTTTACCTACTACCTATTACATTAACTATAAATATATACTCTTTATTTCTCTAATTAGTCAAAATAGGATATGGAGTTAAAAATAGGACCGTACAAAATGTGCATGCATGGTCGTGTTGGCGCCACACGTGCAATCGAGAGAGAGAGTGATTTTAATGAAAGATCTTTTTTTAGTGCCGGCCTACTAGCTGCCCGTCTCTGTATGCTAGTTAAGTTGGCCCTTTTCGACTGGGCGGGTAGGTCAGGTTGGCCCATATTGTGGCCCATTTAGTTATTTTACATGGTGTTTTTTTTACTCGTATTTCTCTTCGTTTAACCTTCTACTTCATTACTTTTATCTATAAATTGGTATATCACAAAAAAATACAAATTACATTGTTGAAAACTACATTAAAAATTATACAAAACAAGATGTGACAAGAATGTTTTATCTTATCGAATGATTGATGAAATTATACAAACAAACATTAGAAATCGAGAGACCGTAAAAATAACTAGGAAGTTTATTATTAGACGGAGGGAGTGCACATATATATGTGTGGTTTTTTTCCTTAACTCTATGTTTCGTTCAAGTAATTTGAGAAAGAAGAGAAAATAATGTAGAAATAATTTTTTTCATGTTTGGTTGGAGAGAAAAAAGAAAACAAAAAAAAGGAAAAGAAAATGAGAAGAAAATAATATGAGATGAAAGAAAACTATTTATTAGGTACCTAAATATAATAGGTGGAATTGTGCAATGTCACAATTAATCATTGTATGTTTACATTTTACAATGTTCTTAACATTATTTTTTTTAGCATTATGAATTTTCATTTTGATATAAAAATATTGAAATACCTATTATAATAAAAAAAAAAGGCATGGAGAATATTGGGTTGATAATGACGTAGGTATGTGTAATATAATGGCGGGCCAGGGAGTGGGCCTGGGCCTGGGAAACAAGTTCACATGGACTGTGGTTGGGATGCGTCCCTCTTCACGTGATAACCCCACAGTAAGTACGTACTCTTGTCGGCCCATTCTCTCTTTTCCAACTTTATTATTTTTAGCTCTTTTATTTATTTATATACTTTAATGTATCATTTCATATATAATCAAATCATAATTATGTTACGTACCATCCAATTCGCCTAACTTTTTTTTTTTGATTTCTTATCTTTCTTTCTTTCAAAAACATTAAACATGCATCTCATAAAATTATCCTCCCAAATTGATTTTGTCTGTTCCTTTAAACCTTCTTCACAAATTGTTTTGTCTAATTTGACACTTTATGGTCCCCTAACAAAACATTGTTATTGTTTCTAGGTTAACACAAATTCTTTAGATGTTACAAGAAAATATAGTAATAGTCTTATAAAAGTCCAATTTAGGGGAACTTCAATTGTAGCCCATTTTGGATACACAAATCTCCAACATGTTGGAGAGCCTAAGTAAAACTCATAGAGTCATAGGAAGTTAAGGTCTCATCAATCATCATGTTGGGTAAAGAAGAATCTTAATACAACCCATTTATTTCTTCTCCAAATCTTTCAAGAAAATATTCTTCTCCAAATAACTATGAGCTCAAACTAAAGTATTTTAACATGACATTTTGATCATTTTGGGACAAGAGAAATATTTTGAAGAAAAAAAAACAGACAACTTGATCCGAAATCCAAATATATGATCATAAATAAACAAACAGAATCGCTTGAGGAAAAAAGAAGTTCATGAGGGGATTGACAATATTTGGGACTCGGAATTCACAAGCACAGCACAGTTGCGGCGACTTGAAAGCTTTCTCTTTTTCGTCTTATCATCAAATGGCTGCAACACCAGAGTTTCCCATATTACACATTGGCATTAATTCCCAGCACATCATATGATCAGAAACAGATTATTATTATTTCTCAGTTTTATTGGACTTATTACCTGTGGATTAAATAAATATGGAACAGCCTGTATCCTCTTGGAGGAACCATCCGGCATTCGCTTGCAAGGAAACTGAGTTTCAACATCTGCATAGTTGCTGCTGAGGACCTGCACAAAAATGCATCCCAAGAGGAATTGTGAAATTGTGTGGTTGAAATTTATGCAGGAGAGTGAGAGATGGATAATACGAAGCTCGCAATTCTTTTCCTTGAAATGAAAAATGAAACCTTATTTTGGGACAGAATGATATGGAGAGGCATGGAAACATTTTACAGGACAAAGGGAGTAAATCAAAATGTCTTTCACTAAGCTGTTTTAGAAGCTTTAATGTCATAGACAAGTGTTAGCTATACCAAAACTAAGGACATACCTGGGCCTGAATGCCCTCAACCAATCTACAATGGCAACCAGATGCATGAACACTTCCCAAATTAGGGCACTGAATTGACAATCTCTCTGAAATATGACAAGGACACATTCAAAAGTTTTAGATTAAATTAAAAAAAATTAATTTTCCAATGGGATTATTGCAAGGCGCTTCAAAAGATCATTGTGCTACCTGGTTTCAAATTTCTGCAGCAGTTTAAGTTCAGATCAACAAGTTCTGGGCAGTTTAAGTATAATGCCTGACATTGATAAATTTTAGTTCAGTACTAGGATGCGTATATATGGCCTAGGACTGAGAAATTGTATTGGACTGAGAAAGAAAAGCTCACATCTAAGCCAGAACAACCCCATAAGCTCAGTTTCTTCAACCGGCTGTGTTTGATAATCAGCTTTTGATATGCAATTCGTGTTTCGCTGTCTGGCATCTCTTGCAAGTTGGAATCATTTTCCTCGCCAGTTTGGGAGCCTGTATTTGGGTCACATATGGTCATTCCACAGTCCATGATCTCTAGTTGAGGCAATTGAGCTGCAGCGAATTGAATGCCACCTAAATGAAGAACAAGCATGTCATGATCATCGTCGTATCTTGGGTGAATTGATACCATCAGAAAGATGTATTAGGACAAAAGGGCATTATTATGATCATTACTTGAAGTGATATTAGGACAAAGGGCAATGAGAAGTTTGGACAATGTCTCAGTAAAAACATTGCATATCATTCCAATGCCACTGTCACTTATGCTAGACCTGAATTCAAAAGGGAAATAAGTCAATCTAAGCATAAAAACTATATAAACTAAATACATTAAATATGTTCATAGCTGCAGCATGTTTGTCTTTAAAATTAATAAAGTTGCTTAAACCATATAGAGTATTCAACAACTTTGGAAAAAAAATATTCATACTTCCAAAATATATGCGGAAAATCCGAGATAACCATGTATAATTTTTAGCATTAACCAATTCAGTTTACATGGTCAAAATAAGCTATTGTTTTGCAAAAAAAGATCTGGATGATAAGGGTAATAGACCATTTAGTCTTTCAGTTTAAGTCAAAGTATGAATGGAATATTGAATGCAAACCCACCCACTAAGATCAAGCAATTCAAGGCTGGGGTAGCTAAACGCAATAGCAGCAACGGATGCATCAGTTATTTCAGAGCCAAGTACAAGCGAAAGCATTCGCAACCACCTGCAAATAAGAGCTGTCATATTCACTTCATTCACACTTTTATTTTATTTTATTTTACTTTTAGGAGGGATGGAGTAATTGATTATTTAGATTTGATAAAAAAGAAAATGATAAAAAAAAAGCAGCAAATATTGTCTCCAAAACAACACTCATTGTGAACCGAAGAGTACCAAAGTAATCAAACCTCAGATTTGCTTCAGCAAGAGAAAGGACCGCAGCATGTGAAAGCCGAGAAGAAGCAATATGAATGTTTTGCAGTCTTGGACAGCTTCTTCCAAGGCAATCAACCATGGCTGTGATATCAGTGTTGTCATTCTCTTGGGAAAAATGTAATGAGATCTCCTTCAAACCAGGGCAGTTGAATACCTAAATAGATATTTGCACACCTCAATAGAGATCAAGGTCGAGAAGCGTGCCAATATAGAACACTTTACATGAAATACAAAATACCATCTTAGAAAGACAGCGAAGATCGGATAGACAAAGCTTAGACAGTTTGCTTGAACAAAGAGCAAGACCTCCAAGGTTGGAGCACCCTTCCATCTTGAGATTGGTAAGACATTTTCTATCAGCTAGAAAATGGCTTAGTTCATCCCTACATAAATGCTTAAGTACGTAAGTCTGAGCAGGTTCATTTTCAAATGCTCAATATATTACCCACCCAAAAAAAGTTCTTCAAAAATATCACTGGCAGAAAGCAAAAATGTGTTCAGAAAGGAAAAAATGTTATAAGATAACAACAAAATGCTAGATTGCTCAAATGTATTTTCTTACATATAGACAGAAATTCTAGCATAACCATCATATTACTATGTAAATACCTGTTTCTTTTTTTCAAAACGATAGATAAAGGTTAAAATCAATAGAATCAGCACATATTCTCAGCGGTGGTTAATCATAACTTTTTATGACATAAGATCCCCAAAATTTTCAAATGTGACATAAGATCCCCAAAATTTTCAATCAAAAGCTGTAACCTCACTCAATATCCCATTAGGTGTCAAGTGTCACCACTTTTTCGGTGGTTGTTTGACGAAATCAACACCGCCACATTGTTGAAGACACCATTATAGCTCTCCACAGCAGAATCCACTACAAGAACTGCCTTAACACTATCAACTTGCCATGTGCCACATAAACTGCAAGGTTGTCTAAGTATGTTCCCATCTAGATTTCTTTCGCATCAATAAACATTGCAAGTGACACTAGCAACTTGTTTTCTCTCTGCAATCCAGGTTGTGAAAATATGGAATTCTTTGTCAACCCACCAGCAATGTAATGCACCGCCACCTTTCTCACACACCGATAAGCTTACCTCCGATATAATGTTTGGCAATTCACTCGAAATTCATTTTGTAATAGTTAAAAAAGAACATGTACGAGACATCTATATTACATGTTTCAGGTGAAAATGGGAATGTTACTGCTTGTTGCATTTCAACTAATTGAAGGCATCAATTGAACTATAGTTTGTTAAGATCCATTATTTTCTTTTCAAGTAAGTGAAAAGGTTTTATATGGTTCCAAGGGAGTGTTAAATATAGAATGTAGAAATCCTAGAGTAAGCATAATGTAGCCTTAGCTCATTATGTAGGTCAATAATATTCCTATATAATACAATATCTCATTCGGAATGTATAATATTCCTATTGTTTTTGTCTGCATCTTTCCTCCTGAATGACTATTTACAAACTGCCAATCCTTCAAGCTAACTTCAAGAGTATTTCATCAGTTCAGGTTGAGGAATGGTGCAAATGCTAGAAAGTAATAGCTATAGTCAAATATCCTGCGGGTGCTCTACTAATAAAATTCGCGTTCTTTATAAAAGAATAAAAAGAACATGGAGTACTAATTGGTGATCAACCAAAAAGGACTGCACAGAAATATACATTTAGCACACTGGTACTGTTTATCATAGTTACACTATCACTAGCTAAAAAATCATTTAAAATAATACAAAGGGATGTATAAAAGTGCTTGGTTACAATAACGAATGTGGCAACATATGCTGAAATCATCTAACAAAAAAAAACTAGAGGGGAAAAGCATACCCGGTGATCCGATTTACCGAGTTCTTGGATGTAAATATCTCCAACGATTCTAGCTTAGGGCATGAGAATGCAATGCAGGCCAGCAATGTAGCATCTATATCACTGAGACACCAAAACCAAAAGAGTCTGATAAGCATAACTCTGCAATCGGTTACCAAATCAACTGTTTATTTCAAGCTTGTAATTGGGAATTTCAGCTCCTAAAATGTGCAATGCCTAAGTTAGGCTTTTTTATAATTGAATATAAATCTTTCAATAACATCAAACAATTCCTTTAGTAGGGTTGGTTTTGTTATCAAAAAGGGTTTGCGGCGCAACTTGTTATCTCATACTCCGGTACTTTTTTGCAATTGGTTGATTCGGACAAGAAATTGCATAAAGCAAAAAAATAATTTGGTTAAAAACCCTAACCTTTGCATTGTCAGGGAAAGCCTAACGAGATCCGGACACTTCTGCAACAGCGATCTCACGTGCCCAACCTGAGCCTTGGCCGGAACCCTAAGCCTGAGCTCCTCCGCTGCTCTCCACAGCATCCTAGCAGTATCCCTCCACCCCTTGGACACAACGGCCACAGACAACAAATCCGGTGGCGGCAGCCTCCTGAGCACTTCCCACAGGCTAGCAAACGGCAAATTCCCGGGCCCATCCAGATCCGGAATTTCAGCGTCCCCTTCGTTTTCCGTTCCTGCAGGGAAGTCGCCTCGGTCAATTTCATCAAACGACAGAGCTCGAGGGAGGCGGGAGGGAGGTGAACGCGAATCCGATGAGGTGCTGTCGCTGATAGCCAGCGGAGTTCCGAGGTCCAAGGCGGGGGCGGAGGAATCCTTGGAGAAATGACATACGTGCCCTTTCTTCGGGGCGCCGCATCTGCCGCAGTTATAGCTTCCCCTCTTCTTGCCGCTCTTGGGGACGAAAACGGCGCCGCCGCCGGAGATGGGTGTGACCGGGTGAGGCTGCCGACCCGCCATCCTCCGATTGCTCGGAAGGAGCAATCACTGAAAACCCGGCGGGAATTTTCGGGGTTTTGGCGCGGGTGTTTTGAAAAACGTTTTCATTTTACGACCGAAGAAAAGGGAGAGAATATATAGGGCGTCGAGTAGTCCGTCGGATGAGCGACCGTTAACGGTAACATTTTTGCAGCCCGTTAGTCTTTATTAGTGCCTATAATTGAGGGAAATGTTCTTTGTTTTTTGTTTTTTTGACTTTTGAGAGGATGCATGTACACAAGACAACAAACAAAATCAATTTCTATTTTCGAATAATTATTTTAAATTTTTTCTAAATTTACACCTCATTTGGTTATAGCAAATATGAAATTTTATCTTTAAATACTTCAAAAAAGAAAGAGAAAAAGTAATCGATAGAATTATTAATTTCTTATAAATAAAATGGATTTAGTCAAATGAAAAATGAAATTTAGCATCACTCTTATACGGAGTACTATTTTTTTTGTTGTTTTTTTCCTTTTTTGAAAGTTATACTCCCTCATCTCAAATATTGAGACCTATTTTGATTTCTTATAGAATTCATGAAAAATATTAAAAAGTTAAAAGTGTACGGTTCAAAATGACTACGTATTTAGAAAAAAGAAAATATTTAAAGACAATAAAATAAAAAGTGATAAAAAGAATTTTGGGACAATGGATGGAGTACTTACTCCCTCCGTCCCCCTGTATTTGTCTACTTTCATTTTTGCACACCATCCAATGCATTTCTTTAATCCATTTTATCTTGTAATTTGTATATTAAAAAATTATAAAAATTATATATTAATAATCTATATGTTAAAACAAATCAAACAAGATCACACATGACTATATTTAGGCTTACACATTGAGAGAATTTGATGAGTCAAAGTGCTTACATGAACAGTTCCAAAAGTCAAATATGGACAAATACATGGGGACGGAGGGAGTATTTTTTTGGTAAATAATTCAATAGACCTCCGAAAGAAAATTACTAAGTGTAATTTTCATTCCAATTGGTGAAATTGTGAGCGTGGGATGTGGATGAATAATGTTGGTCAAACTTTTGAAGCAAACTTGAAAGCTCTATTTCATCGGTCCAAAAGGTGGAATCGTCCATCCCAGGCGCCTCCACCCCCTGGCCCGATAGGGATGATGGAAGAGATAAAATCATGGTGACTCAATCAGGCAAGAAAGCTTTATTTCATGCTTGGTTAAACACGATAATCATGAAATTCAATATCAATATACACATACAACATATTCCCCCTATTCTTAATCACTTTTACATAATAACACGCCAAATAGCTACAGTGTCCATGTAGATTGGAAAAATTGACAATAATATCCCTCTATTTTCAAAACTTATTTCTAAAGTTTTCGTGGTTTTAAAACGTTGCACTCACACCCTCTCTCATCATTTTCCGGCGAAGAGGGGCATTGGTGCCTAAGTTATAAATCCTATGGGGCATTCATGTTCATTTCTTATTTTTCGTTTATTATTTTGGTTTTTCCCACTTTTAAAATTTTATTTATCTCTTTGTTTCCTTTCCTAGAATTTTTTTTGAAATCTCTTTTCAATTTTTTATAATGTTTTAAAAAAATCAAAATTCTTTGTGTCTGAAATGAAAATTAAAAAAACATACACTACAGCTCTCTCAAATTAAACATTTTCACTTTTTGGTTTTTAGAATAATTTTATGGAACGTTCAAAAAGAAAATCTAGAATAAAAAAATAAAATATGGAGGAATGAAATGAAAAAATTAAAATGTACAAAATACAGTCTTATACAAAAAATAATTTTCAGAACATCTAAAAAAACCTTTAAATTGGGATGTCCAAAAAGGATACTCATTTTTATTTTTTTGTTTCTTATTTATCCCTAATTTTTTTTTAATGTTCTCAAAAAATTACTTTTTTCTATTTAGAAAACAAAAAATAAAAAATGTTATTCTGAGATGCATAAATGCAGTATATGTTAATTTTTTCAAACAAAAATAGTTTTAAATTTTAAGAATATTACGGAGTATAAAACAATTTTAAAAATAAATTTAAAATATCTTGATTAATAAAAGAAACAAATAAAGGAAAAAACAAAAAAAAGATATAAAAATGAACAATAACACTCCGTATGGTTTAGAAAATATGCATCAATGCTCTCTTCTCCCCCGGAAAAGTGGCCGAAAAATGAATACCAGAGATATGAGTATAATGTTTTGAAAGTAGAGGAGATATTGGTGTCTATTCTATAAACCACAGAAAATATTGGTAACTGGTGCTATTTGAGCTATAATAACAATGAAATGAATACGGATATAATATATAACCATATTTAATTATTTTTTAATATATACTCCCTCTGTCTTATTTTAAATCACATATTTCAGTTTACAATATTTGACTACAATTATTTTCAAATCATTATATACGAAAAGTGGTGTAGAACTAAAAAACAAAAATTACACACGGAGTATTTAAAAACTAAATTAAAAAATCTACAAAGCTAGTATTGACATAACTATATTATTTTATCAAATTACTATTGAAAATAGGAAAAGAAGACGAATGAAATTTGACTCTGTAAATAGTAAAAAGACAATTTAAGTTGGGACGAATGGATTACAAAAAAAAATCATAATAGACAACCATTGAGGTCGGTTCTAACCCCCTTCCCCTTCCGGAAATAAACTTCAATTTGTGTTATAGGATATTTGACAAAAGTTATTTCTTATTCAATCTATTTTAATATTCATGTACAAGAAAAAAGTGAAAAAAATAAAACTTGCATATTTCAAACACACATCAAAACTTTTTTCAAAAGAGGTCACATGATTATAATAAAAATCATAAAAGTATCAACACAAAATGCGTTTTGTACTGGTATTAAATAAGACCAAGAAGGGCTATGTACGAGAAAACATCCCTTGTGACTTTACAAAGAGCCCTATCACTTCTATGCACAAAGGGTCCTATCACTTACCTCCCACTTGGTTCTTCCAGGTTTCAATAATCCCCTGTTTGGCTATTCGCACCAGCAGCTACTACAATTGGATAAGCAGCCGCGAATCTGTATAATAACCCTTCTACCATATTTGAAGGTGCGATGCCGCGCTTATGATTGTTTTTCAGCCATCAGATTATTGTTCCTTAGCGACACAATGGTCAAACTCCAGGGGCAGTTTTGGCATCAGACTCTCCTGTTCCCTACAGTTATAATATTGTTGAGTTGAATTGATCAGAAACCATATAAAAGTGTGTATTTGACAAGTGGTTGTTCACTTGTTATAGTTATAGAGCCATTGATATGCACATGTATGCATTATGCATTTACTATGAATGGTCTCGTGATAAAAAGTCATAAAACAATCTATTTGAAGGACAGATGGATTTTTTTAAATATGCATTTAAAGGAGTTGATAGAGTAGAACACAGCAACATTACCATAACTTAAAAGACAAGCAACTAAATGAGTTGACTAATTTTGTTTCATTGGCTTACGTGTTCTTGCAAGACTACCATGCATAAAATTATAAAAAATATATTTCAATGGGGCTCGCGCATGGAAGAACTACCTTATGTAATCAAATTATGATAGCATTTCCTATTAAAATTAGCTTTAATATTATCAACTTCAAACGAGCATCTTCAACAATGAAGATGGTAAAAAATAGATTACCTGACCTAGTAACTAAATAATTTTGATAAAAGCTCGTTCGATTACATTTATTGAAGCATCAATTTCAATCTTCTCTTAAATCGCCATAAGGTATAATCTTTAAGTTTCTAATTATAGAATTTAGGTATTTAAGAATGTTTTGAACTTCGGATGACATGGTGCATCATCAAACCATCATAAAAAACAATCAATATATTCTCGAGGAGGCATTTAGTTGAAGACAAACCTCATGTGCACTGCTCCGAACCTTTCTTGTGGGTGTCCTCATGGTGACAAACTCTTCTGCTGATGTTGGATGGATACCAATTGTGGCATCAAAATCTGCTTTTGTCAAACCAGCTTTGACAGCTACAGCAAACCCCTGGAAATATGACATAACTTTATAGGACATGCAATTTTTTCCATTAAAAAGGTTGAAAACAAGCATTGAAGAATGAATGATATTGACTACCTGTATTATTTCTGGTGCATCATCACCACACATGTGGACACCGAGAACTTTGTCCGTCTTTGCACAGACAACAATTTTCATAAATACTCTGTCTGTGAGGCCAGAAAGTGTAGCCTTTAAAGGCCTAAAGTTTGATGTGAAAATGTCTACATCACCATATGCATGTATAGCCTGCAAAAAACTTCTTATAAAAACAAAATGACAAGATCAATTGTAGCAGTATCTGGTGTATGTCATTGCCACTTCACCTGCTCTTCAGTCAGACCAACTTGCCCAATTGGTGGCTGTGAAAATACTGCAGATGGTATAGCCCTATATAGAGAGAGAAAATAAAACTTCATTAGACAACTTAGCACTTGATTTGGTTAGTATATTTTTGTAGGAAGGGGAAGGGACGAGAAGATCAATACTTTTTTTACTAATTTATGCATAGTTATTAGAGATACATCAGAAAAGTACAACCTATGTCCCAAAAAAAAGTTGTGTTAGTCTTTGCAAAACTTTTAAATTTTGTTAAGGTACATCAGCAGCAGCCAATAGAGTCCCAACTACTCTTAATTAATAAGCTTACTCATACTTTTTTAAATATATATATGTGGATTTAATTAAATTTCTTATTCTTTACTTGTTAAACTATGAAAAAATAGCTTCATTTGATCAAACATGACTTAATGCTGAACAAACAATATGCTTGGAAGTTGAAACATGATTATTTTGGGGATGGAGTTTTTCTATATACTCTCACACCTCCACTTCCCTTCCAAGTGACTAATGTAGGAGAAAATTACTAATCATTGAAATAAATATCACCACTCCTCTCCCCACCTCTCCAAAATATCCTACCAGAGAAAAGTGGGATTAGTGAATCCTCTTCTAAAGATTTATTCCGCTTTTTTTTCTAGAAGAGGAGATGTAAATTCATCATGCGCACACACTCACATTACTTATGTATTTACATCATTTATCATGCATGATCCATATTTTATTTACATGGAACCATTTTATTGCCACATTTAATCAATTATGCACATATTATTTACACATGAGCTGAAGTTATGCTTTATCAGAGCACTTTTAAGGCATAAACAAGTATATAGTAAGGAAAGGGCGAGCACCTGTAATCTGGTTTACTAGGCTCATTAGCAAAAAGTGTCTTTGCCAATGCTCCTCCTTCCATCAAAGCAACTGGAGTTAAATTCACTCTATCAGTAACATCTCCAACTGCCCAAATTGATGGAATTGATGTACGGGAATACTCATCGACCTATTAAAACAATTCCAATTACAAATCCTATAATGCATGACTTCAAAGTTCATTGGTTTAAAAGAAAAGACGTTTATGAAAAGAACAGTTATAGGTTTGTTGTAAGTAGCAAACCTCTATTGCTCCACTAGTTGTCATTTTAACTCCCAATGTATCCAGTCCTAAATTCTGCCAACAAAAACGACAAGCACAAACTCAAATTAGCAACCTATCAGATTTGAGATGAGGAAGCATCCCATCAACCAGCTAGTCCATCTAGCAAACAACATGAACAAATATGCAACAATATCAACCACCACGACAAATTTCCTATATAATTAAGGAATGTTATAACTTATGATTGCTTTCCCTCTATAATACCTAGGGAAAAAAGTTTAAATGATAACTATCATACCTTTGTATTTGGTCTACGTCCTGTGGCAAACATGATATGAGAAAATCCATCAAATGTCCCTTTATTAGTTTTCAAAGTAAGTGAGCCATCTGGTGACTTAACAATAGCATGTGGTGATTCCTCTGTGTGAAACTCTATTCCTCCCAGTACCATTTGTTCCCCAACAAAGTCCCTGATCTGCATGATAAATAATGTGTACCCATGAGGACAAGGAAACTTTTCGGTAAAAGATAAAATTATAAAAAGGAAAGTAGTTCACTCACATCTTCATCAAAACCTCTTAGGACCTTTTTCTGTCTTATAAAAACATGGACCTCACTTTTCAACCCATTAAAGATCCCAGCAAACTCAAGCGCAATGTAACCACCGCCAACAATGGCAATCTTCTTTGGTTTTGTGGGTAAGTCCAATGCTGCATCAGAATCTATAGCATATTCACTTCCAGGAATGTCTGGAATAAATGGACGCCCACCTACTGAAATTAGTATATTTCTCGCTGAGTAGAGTTTCCCATCAACCTCCACAGTGTGTGGGTCAACTACCTGATGAAACAGAAAATTAGGATGACATGCCTAATAGACATTTAAACAATCACTTTTATTCTATTTTTTCCTTAAGCTTTGTCAGACCTTTCCACGCCCTTCGATAAGAACTACGCCAGCTTTGTTAAGAATGCTTTTGTAGATGCCAGTGAGACGCTGCAACTCTGCATTTTTATTTGCAACAAGGGTGCTCCAGTCATGTTTTGGCTCCGTGTCATGATTCCATCCAAATCCCCGACTCTCCTCAAATTCATGAGCATACTTTGATGCAAAAACAAGCAGTTTCTTTGGGACACAGCCACGAAGCACGCATCTTTGGTTTAATAGAAACACCCACAAAAAACATAAGAAAAATAAGAATAAAAACACAAACCCCAAGCTTATCCAATGCATTATGAATCAGAGCATCCATGGTTATATTTTTCTAATCAGTTTTCTTTCTTGTTACTCGACGTGCCAAAAAAACACTAAAAGAATCATACTATAAACTTAAATCTTTACTATTATATTATAACAATAACTGGATTCCATCGCTCTTAGAACAGAAAAACAAATAGCATATCAGTGAAGACCTCAGCTTTAGTTCATCTAATACCGAAGCTATATTTCACCCTCCACGGAAGGAGTTATACCTTTATCCCAATGCCCTGGGCACTGAGTACCAACTATGTATTCCCTCATCTATGGGAACTCAATCGTTAATGCTAATCTAAAATTCTAAAAAGAGCAATTTTGCCTACTCGTTTTCAGTCTAATACATAAAAACATACAGCAATAACCAAAAATATAACCAGGGAGCAAATGTTCGAGTAGAAAAACTCACGTGCCGCCAACGCCGCCTGCCGAATCTGAAGAAATGGTGCCGAAGGGAAGCTCACAAATAGCGACAGAAGCCCCGTAATTCGCGGCAAATCTAGAAGCCCTAACGCCGCCACTCCCGGCGCCTATAGTAAAGAGGTCGAAATCGTAGTGCCCCGGCGCCTCGGCGGCGGCGGAAGCATTTGGGGACTCGGCTCGAGCGGTGGAGAATCGGCGACAGTTGGAGAAGGATTGGCGGCGGAGATTGATGGAATGAAGTTTTCCGGGGGTAGTGCTCAGCGAGAGAGACGAGAATCTCGGGAGGTGGTTGCGGAGAGCGTAAAAAGCCGGTGAAGATAGCGTGAAGCTGAGCTTTGGAGTGCTGAGAGAAGTGGCCGCCATTTTCCACGGCGATGAAGGGGACGGCCGAAGGGGTGACACGAACTAGTATCCCGAACTGAATTGCTGCTTTATTTAGGTTGATTAATTATTTTCTTAATTGTAAAAAAAGATGTTTTAGTCTTAAATTAAGGCCCAATATGTGGTTAAACTAAACAAATTTGTTCATCTGAATTCAACCATTCATTTTTGTTTGATCTTTACACATTTTTTATTTGAGGTACTAAAGGTATACTAACTTTGTTGTCTACTTTAATCTCTTTGGTGTGTCAAGCAAGCTTTGTTATATGGGCTATGGCATAAAATGGGCTATATCAAAAAAGATGTAAGAACATGAAAGTTAAAGCTACGTCTAGAGAAAGTGTAATGAATTGAGAGAATGACAAATGATTTTTTTGTCAATACAACTATCATTGTGAAATTTGAAAGATGAATGAATAAAGAAAATAATTTACATGTCAGACATGTGTTTCGAAAAAAAAAATATGTTGCAACCTCGTTGCAAAAATTATGTTGTCCATTTTTAAATATTTGCAATCAGATCAACTTTTGATTTATAATTAAAAAAAAATTACTTCATGTGATTTATGAATTAGAAAAAATCACATTTTAAAATTACTTACTCCGGGTACAAGATAAATATAACAAAAATATTGTTGTATCAATATATACTTCCTCCATCCCAGTTTAAATCATTTATTTCAGTTTACGATGTTTATTAAATTTATTTTTAAATCACTTTAGATGTAAAATGGTGTAGAATTAAAAAATTACATATTTAAAACTACACCGAAAGATCTACAAAACTAATGGTGACATGATTATATTATTTTATCAAGTGACTAACGAAAATAAAGAAACAAAGTGAATAAAGTTTAATCTTATAAATACAGTAATAAAACATGCAATGTAATTTGGGAAAATCCTAGAACAAGCAATATAAATCTTAACAGTAAAAACACAAAATATAATGGATTCTAGAACACTAGTACTACGGAGTACTCCGTATTTGTTAACAGTGGCAGGGAAAGTCATATAAGGCATGTATGAAAATAGCGTTAGAGATTAGCGTTAACGTTTTAGATAAAATTTCAACAGTGTAAATTATTTTGAAAACGCTACTCGTAAATAACATTTTCAAAACGCTAACGCTAATCTCTAACGCTATTCCCAAACAGGCTCAATAGCCACACAATATTGCCTTCATAATTCATTTACATTATAATGTTCAAGTAAATGTCCAACGTGACTAAATATTGTTCAAATTAAATATCGATCATTAATGGACATTATTTTCTCCACTAAACATTATTCAAGTATTATTTAGAAAATAAAAAAAAATAAATGCAACACAATTAAAAAAAGACATATGCTTTAGGCAAATTTCATTCTAATTAGTAGGATGAAGATTAATTATGAATATACCTCGTCGTTTAGAATTTAAAATCCATACGAAATGCAGCAATCATCGTTTTCCTCAGTTAAAAAGCTCTATTTAACTTGGTTGACTTGAGCAAGATCACTTACTTAGTCAATGGAGAAAAAAGGAAATTAAAGATGATGATCGATATGAAAATCAAGAGTCTGCAGAAATACAGTAAGATCCGAATCCAAAGTATTTTACAACATGATCAGTAATTTGACAGAGAAGACGAAGAAGAAGAAGAAGTTCAGACTCAAAGGGACAATCCAGACTCCTCGTCCTCATCGAGGGTGGATATGTAGACCATGTACAATGACCAAATTAACCCCACCACGCCCAGCGGCACCCACCCTAGAAGGTTGTTGTTCAGCCCGAACGGAAGCCCCGTCCCTTCCGTGCCCATCCTCTCATCCACCAGCGCCATGGCCGCCGGGCACGTCACCAACGCCGCCGCCGCCGCCGCGATCAGAGATGCCCCGCCGCCGCCCGTCCCAACCGATCTCGACTCGCTTTCTCTCTTCCTCTCCGCCGAGCATCTCACCTTCCCCTCCGCCGCTCTCATCGCCGGAAGCCCTTAGGAATTGAACAGGATCCGTCCGGATCATCGGGGATTCGGACTGATGTAAGAACACAAACAGTGAGTATTATTGATGGAATCAAAAGGCGATGAACGTACCGAGAGCAGAGGAGGGACGAGATCCGGGAGATTTGGGCAAGAACGCGGCACGTGCGAGGACGGAGGTCGTAGCGCATGCGGAGATGGCGGCCATTTCTGTACTGGTTCGTTTGGTGAAGAAGAAGAAGAAGAATGTATGTCTGAATCTGGAAATTAAGGGATTGTTTGGAGGGGAGGAAATAAAGCAGTGGTGGTAAACAATAAAACAAAGATTAGATGGATATCGCCTCATCCATTCAAATCCAGTCAGATTCCTCCACTTGGCACTTCATCTCCGTGGGCCCCCCGTTTGAATTTGGCCGCCTGGGTTATGTACTTATGTTATGCCTACTCCATCCAAATCAATCTTTACATGCCACTTTATTTTGGTCCAATTTCACAAACTTTGAGTGTAAACAATTTACGGAGTATATATTTAGTGTAACGGTAAGGTTCTCATGATATTGCCGGACAATGTAATGGGATGACTCGTGGGCACTCCGGTGCCCCGTTCGTAAAATTAACGGGTTCCTACTCCTCCTAACTCCCGTTCATAAAATTGACGTTTGTAATTAAGTTTGTTTTTAAATGTAGTTAAGATATATTGAATTTTTTAAAGTAGAAGTAACAATTAGTTATGTACAAGTATATCTAGTAACGGTCAAAATGTCGTATTAGTGACTATAAAAAATATATAAATGAACCTCAATTTTTAAGACTATTTCTTAAATAATCCTTTAGGTCAAATAATCAAATAAGTTTATCACATATAATCTATGAAAGATTGATTATGGAATAGTTTTCAAAAGTGAAAGATTATTTAAAGACCATGAGGCATACTCTAAAAGTTATTTTGGCATGAAGAGGATAGTTCCCCTCTATCCATACTTGACTACTTTTAAAAAGATGTCCATTAAATGTTATTTTGAGCTATATAGAAAAAGAGTGACTATCAATATTCGAGGCGGTTTCCATAATACTGTCCAACAATATCATCGATAATCGGGGACACTCCGATGTCCCATTCATAAAATTGGCATTTTTAATTAAACACAATATAAGTTGGTTGATAAGTACTTTATAATTTTTAATCTTTGACCCCTAACTAACTTTAGTAACATGTCTGAACAAGAGAACAACTAAAGTGGCTACAGATATGCAGGGCTATGAGTTAATTCTCTCCCTTCGGCCTTTAAGCTAGTTTAGGTTCAACTTTTATTTTGATAATTTCTCGTATTTTTATCGATTTTGATTAGTTTTTGTTGGTTTGGTTGATTTTGACAAACTTTTGTTAAATTGGGACCCTAAAAACACAAACAAAAAAGCCTATGATAACTTTCGACCCCTATTGGCCTTATACATGTGTGCAACCTAGAGCACTTTTTTTCTTTATTTCTTTTTTACAAAACAAACTCAATGGATGGTATAGCTGAGGAAAAAGAAAATAACATTGGCCGGCTGATGAGCATTAACGTTTCTCAATTAGAAAAATGAAAAAAATTAGGGTGCCCTGACTTTCATGTAAGTGTTTGGTAGAGCTATGTATTAGATGTGTATATTGCACTGTTGAAGGTATGGGAGTTCATAGTTAACATACTTCCTCCAAGCAGATCTGTATTTCTCGATCCCCATTTCCAACCACGGTTTCATTGCCCCATTGAAATGGATAACCGCTGCCCGCTCAATCTCACGTTGCTCCCTGCCCGAGTCGTAGCCCAACCCGAGGAGGTGCCATCTTCTGTCCAGAGCCATTGTCTGGTTGTAAAAGGTTATCCAGCCTATGGGCAAACTGCCGGCTGTCAGTATTGGATTCTTGTTCCCCTGTGCCATCATCATCCAAAGTAAAAACATTGCAGGAATGAGCAACTAAAAGTATATAACCATAGGGGTGCTTTTGGAATTCGGAAAATATAAGTTAAATGAAATTGTTTGAGATTTATTTAGAAATAAAATGAAAAACAATCACACAATTCTACCTCAAAAACACTAGGCAAATAATTTAGAGAAGGAAGAAAAAGAAAAGTACGAAAATAAATCTGATCAAGTTGTTATAGATTCGTACCAGCTGCAAATACTTGTGATAGACTCCGGTTAAATTTTGCCTCCTCCATTCTTGCAGATCAAACAAATTCATCCCAAATGCCCATGTGCAGGTTTCCTTGTCAAATCTATTTGCCATATTAGGGTCAGTGAAGTTTATAAACACATCCATCCGGCGAAATGAAGGATCTCCTTGTTCACAGGTCTGTACAGCTCCATTCACTTTACCCCTCATGTTAATTTTCCAAAGAGCCGAGAGATCCTTTTGCACAACTACGTCATGGTCAAGAAACACAATCTTGTCTAGCGTAGGAAAAATATCTGGCAAATAAAACCGCAAGTGGTTCAATGCAGACATATACTTTGGATCAAGTGAACCTTGCTTCTGCACAATTGAATGGTATTGGGTGTATAACCATTTAATATTTTCAATGCTCTGGATATGAATTGTTGCATTGCCTGGAGGGTTCGACAAAAACCACATCGACATTGCAGGGAGGGTAATAGAATCAGTGACTATGTGAAAGACAATTCTCTCGGAATTCTGTCAGATATAAAGTTCATCATCGTCAGTACAAATATAGATAGGATTCTTTTCAACTTTGTGTATCAAATACATTATTTGATCATCTAAGGATCAGATGACAGACCTAAAAAACACATATAAGAAAACTGTGTTTTGCCAAAACAAGTACTCTCAAATATTATCTATATGTACACTTATTTCTTGGAATCCTCAGCCTTTTCCACACATCCAAAAAAATTAAAATGCTATAAGCAAAAAACCTTCCTTTACCGTTGTGCTCCTATCTCTTGAGCCCGGGATTGCATTGATACATCCTACTTTCCGTGTAGGGAAATATGCGTACACACACTCCCTAGACTCCACTCTGTGAGATTATTACTAAGTCTTCTGTTGTTGTTTATGAGCAAAGGACCTAGTTATGACTATATCAAACCAGAGCCTCACCAAGAGTACAGAATAAATAAGGGTGGTTGTTTCTGATTGTAAAAACTAACTCTGAGTTTGCATGAAACAGAAATCGGGAAAATTGGGGTTTCCAAAGTGTGACAAAATTCTGACGATACAATCTAGGGGTGTGAAAGTTATTACAGTTGGTAGGGGTTCAGAAGCACTTCACACCTCATGTTTCTGACATCATATTACATTATTACAGTTGCAACTCTATCAAAATACTAGCCCTACCAAAAACTTCAGAGTTCCGATTAATTTTACATACAACAAAATCAATGTCAAATAGTCTTGATTTGAACAAATATTCTCATAGTACAAAATTCTATTTCTTTGGTATTGATCCATAGAATTATATCAAGTGTAGTTTTGTCGAACACCATCTATACCTAAAAGCAATGAATAGATGACGGCATAGAATGGCACCCAAAAAAAGAAGAGGTAAAGTAATGACTAACATACCATGGCAGAGGAAACGGTTGAATTGACAACAGCAGAACATGCCAAAATGTTGTCAGAGAATACAGCAAAGTGATATCGATCTGGATGATGCAACTTATGTTGGTTAGGGAATTCCCTCTCTTTAAGTGACAGTGAGAAATATTCAGCAGTCAATCGCATGGAAAGGCAATGTAGGCCCTTAGGTGTAGCTCTTTCAGCTATCTTTAGAAGAAAGCCAACATGATTCTTGTGCGCTTTGAGTTGCTGTTCAGTATTATATGTCATAGCACGAACTTTTTTCACCATAGGTGTGCATTCCGGGTAGATGCGGCTAGCTTTTGATAAGGTCACTTCCATGACTTTCATCTTCTGCAAAGCCCTGAAAAAAGAGGCTAACTAATTTGTAGATGCAAAACCAACGTACTGATTATTTAAAAAACATTTTTTCCCTTTTCGTCCAATGACTATTAGGACATCCCCTTGGTTGGTCTACCACTTTCTATATTCACTTATTCATGCACTAGTATGAATTTCTTGTCACGTCTGACACTTTCCACGTTCCTATGCAGCTAAAACAAACCAAAAAATAAACAAGTTGGCTTGATAAGTAGTTGGAATGATAACAATGATGAGGTATTTGTAGTCATACACCAAAGGCATAAAGAATGAGAGTGGGAACCAAAAGTGAAAATGACCTAATGACAGTGTGGGACAAGTGAAAACTTTGTGTATTGAAACCCAAATCAGTCTCAGAACTAAGACTCGCCCTTTTCCCTCATCGGTCGGTTCCCAAACCTCTCCAACCCTTGCGTGATTACTCCACCTCCTAAGTCCACCTCGAACCAACAACATTTTTGCACATGCACATGGGCTAACCTAGGTTCACCCAGTTTTCAATGAACATGTGTTCATCCAGCATTCCAACTTCACTAGGTTCGTATTAGTGCAACATAAACCAAACGAAAACTAAATGGACCGACTTCAGGACTCAGAGAATTTAAAACAAAACAAAATGATCTAGGTGGTTTGCAACTTTGGCCTCTTTCTGCATCTCAAATTCTCAATGTTCTGTGGAGTCAATTCAATTCATTTATGTTGATTTAAACGCAAGTTAATAAATTGCAATTACTCTAAATACATGTGTGTGTGTGGGTGTGTGGGGGGGGGGGGGGGGGTTNTCCTTAGTAATGTCACCAATAGCTTTTTCCAGATCTTTGATTCGCAGCTTCATCTCTTTCACAAAATGAGATTTGCTACCTTGGGGAGAAAAACTCAGGTATAACTTTGCTCTAATAAGCTGGTCTTTTATCTCCTTCAACTTCACATCCAATGGCTTCTGGGAAATGGAATTTCTACATGATCATGTTGCACCCTCTTTGACTCATAAATCAAGCCATATACATTTACAACAAAGTTGATAACTAATTTAAAAGGCCAACGGAAGGGGTGATTTGGCAGTTTTTACAAAGTAAACTGCAGGGAGAGAGAGAAAGAGAGAAATAATAAGATTCCCATACAAACAACAGACACCTTATATCTTTAAAATGAAAAAACCTAGTTACATTATCTGCCCAATATCACTACCGATCCACCATTGGAGTACGTGAACATAAGATATACTCCATAATTCTAATACATCTGTACTGCAACTTTTTTTAGTTGACCTTAGACACTTCCAAATAATCACACTTGCAAGATATACATAGTATATTTAATGTGCAAAGATTTCCTAAATGGATGGATAAAAAGGAACAAGGAATATTGGTCAACCGAGACAGATGAAAAAATAAGAGAGGTAGTAGTACATACATTTCCCTTTGGTTTTTGTACTGCTTTCTCATTCTGACTCGATTGATTCTGTTGTTTAACATCTTGCAAGTTTCCTGAAAAATCTAAGAATGAGGTTTATACATGACTAAAAAATGGATTCCAAACACATAATCCATGACATTGGACAAACACACACCATTTTCTCCCAAGGCAGCATTATTTGACCTTTCAGACTGACCAGACCTATTATTCCCAATTACAGGACTAGTACGAAACTTGTCATCTTTGTAAACAGCATGGTGTGGCTCTTTGACATTCTGGCCTTCTTCCTATACCACAGCACATTAAAATTCACCGAAATAAGTTATGAAGCCCGGTAAATGCATACAAATCTGGAACAATTTCAGAAATATTTATTACCTCCTCTATTGCACGGGAGGCATAAGCATCGGTTCTATGCTTCTGAATCAAGAAAAATTAAGTGTTTAATCAATAATGTAAGCATACTATTCTTTGCTTGCAAAAGATTGAAAATGTTCATATGAAAAAAATGGGGTTATGGATGTTCAAGGAAAAAGAAAATCACAGAATGTAAACCCCTTTCGAGATCACTCCCTCTGGAATTCAAGAGGTAAAAGCAGCGAGTAGATGTAGATACAATGTGTCCATAACATACCAAAATTGAAAATAAAAATGGGAACTCAAATAAGCAAATTATATCTTCCTTTGTCACGTTCAGTTCAGGAAAATCAAACACCGATCAGAAATCAAAACACAAATCTAAACCCTACTTAAGGGACAAAAAAATCTTACCACAATCGATAAATCTTCAATAAATTGGCTCGACTCTGCACCCAATCAAACATGAAAAAAAAAACAGATTATGAAATCAAAACGGATACAGGTTCAACCACAAACTACTGCAATTCCGGAAACAGTACCAACCATGAACATGAAAATGTTGTATCCTGTGAGGTAGGAAGAAGACAGGAACGCAAAAACAGACGACGAGCAGGATGAGGATGCAAATCCTCGTGCGCCGATGGAACTTCCTCATCTACATCAACCAGAGGCGCATTTCGTAATCTTCTGATTCCCAAACCTGTCGAGAAAATTAGCGGTTCTACGCAAGCGCACTGCAAGTCCGATCTTACACAGAGAACGTAGATGTAAGACCAGTCTCTGCAACTGACTAGGGTTTTTCCGTGGTTTTTCCCGATTCGGTCCGCGAAGAAGACGTGATTTCAATGTCTGGTATAGATTCGGCGATGGAGAGGGGGTGCCATTTTCGTATGGGCAAGCAATGAACCAGATTCGGCTCGGAGAGGAAGTTAATTTCCTTTTTCGGCAATTTATATTTTCCGGTGGGGCTTACGGACTGACTGCGGAGTACTCGGCTTTTGGAGGGTGATTTGAAACTGCTGACCTCATTTTAAGAAAAAACGAAATATTTCACATTTTCATTTTGTAAACATATCAAAAAATATAGTTTTGGGTATATATTTATTTTATATTTTAGTTTAGAAAATATTTCTACCTCAACCCCAATATTGGTCTAGAGAGTAGTTAAAATCAATTTTAATCTCAATACGATCGAAAGAGAATGATGTGTCTTTTGTACGTGCATGAACCTCACACTTAGCATGATCATTTTTTTCCATAATTGTCGAGATTCAAACCTCATGTTCATCTTTTCAACCAGCTGAGCTACGCCCCAAATAAATAAACAAATAGCCTCCTTTGTTGGTATGGTGCAGTGACTTTAAATTGTAGGAAATAGTAATTATGCGATAGACACGACTTGATATTTTTATAAAACCTGTATCGTATCAATACTTTTTGAACCATTTGATTTTATGACTAAAATCATTCAATATTCAGTCCCGCTAGGGGTACACCGTACGGGTACCCCAAAATCACCACCATATACACCCACACGGCCAAACCCCCCCCCACCCCACCCCCACTTCCCCCACCCACGTTAGTTTCCCACCTTTTTTCCTTGCCCATTCCCTCTCTTCCCTCACACGATTTCTCCCCCTGTCGTCAACTACCCGAGATTTTTCTGACACAATCGATTTCTCCCACCGGACCTCCATCGGTTGTCACGGCCGGCCGTCCATCGTGTGTCGCCGGAAGAAGAAGTAAACGGCGTAGGAAGTCCATCGTGTTCCTGACACTCACGCACATCATCACCAGTTTCCATCACCATCATCGTCAATCATCATCACAATCTGGAAGCTTTGTTGTAGGAGTGTGTGCGTGATAATGTACGAAGAACCTCCGGTCGTCCCTATGTTTGCAAGTAAGTTAATCCGTACCGTAAACAGTATATGAACCTCTGTCATTCTAATTTTCAATTTTGTAACTCACACAGAGACTATGATGTATATGAAGTTGTAACACAGATGAAAAGTGTTTGTGATAATCTTAAAGAATGGAATTTTTTGGAAAATAGTCCTTTAATGTAACTGGATGAGGATTTTTCGTAGTAGTCGTATTGATCCATGTTTAAAAGCATGAAGAAGGGGTAAAAGATTATTTTGTTTGTCACTCTGTTTTCACACACAATATGTTATTTAAATTAAAGCGTCACAGACATTTAATGTATGTAATAATTGGAATAAGGGGAATTGTAGTGTTGTGACAGGTCTGTTGGTTTTTGACGAATATAGTTGTTATATCCATATGTTTAGTCAGACAATTACGTGTTTACAATATTTCAACACAGACATACAATGTACATAGTTTATGGAACCGAGAAAATTTAGCAAAGTATGTGCTTAAGGTTTGTGCTTAGGGTTTCACAGACAGTGTGGTATTTCATGAAGTGTAAAACAGACATTTACTGTATGTGATAATTGGAACTGGGAATTTTAATGTTGTGATTTGTTTTTCTTTGACAGATTTAATAGACATTGATGACATAGATCTTGTACTTGACATCTCTTTCATTGACATGTTGTGTAACACCCCGGCCCACACCCTGGCCGTAAGTGTTCGCTCATAGGATTGTAAACTGTCCCCACAAACCAACACAAGTCTTTCCCGCACACTTTGTCCTCACTCGTGCGCGCCCAAGGAAAACTTCCCAGGGGGTCACCCATCCTAGAATTGTTCTAGGTTAAGCTTCTAGATGATGAGCTCTCGAAAAGAAGATGCACCTTGTTGGTATGAGTAGGTATCAATCCTTTTGAGCTCTTCCCATTCCCATCTTGATACGGGGTATTACATGTTGGATGGGTGCGAGGAAAACAACAACACAACAGGGCATTGTAAGTTTCAAGTTTATATCACCCTCCACATGGTAAATATCATTAATACTAAGGTATTATATTGTTTTCTATGTTTTGAGATGGACATGTCCAGAGAGCTATGTGTTGAAGAACACGGAATTGATGGAAATGTTGGAAATGTTTGTCCAGAAACAGCGGTGTTGAACATGCCGGCCATGGGTAACTTGTCCACACATGAAGAGAATGAAAGTGATGGCAATGTTCAAAGAAGTGCTGAACTCCCAGTCCTTGTAAGCCTTGTCCCTGATGTTGGGATGAAGTTTTTGAATTATGATGCCATATATGAATTCTACCATACTTATGCAAAGGGAATGGGGTTTCCCATTAAAAAGAGAAGTTTGAGGAGGGGATGTCATGGAACAATACGTTCTATCACAATCTCATGTGGTAGTGAAGGGAATAGGGTGAGCCGATCTAAGAATTGTCTAAAGCCACAAGCCCGATCCAATTGTGGTTGCACAGCCCGAATTATGGCAACATGTGATGATGAAGGTGTGTTTACTATTACTGTGGCGAATTTGGAACATAATCATGACATTAGTCCATCAAAGTCACGAATGTGGCGTTGTAACAGGAAGTTGCCTGACCACATAAAAAGAAGGCTCGAGATGAATGATACAACAGGAATTCCCCTTCACAAGAGCTTTAACTCAGCAGTGGTTGAAGCAGAAGGGTACGATAAATTGTCCTTTATCGAAAAGGATTGTAGGAACTACGTAGAGCAAGTGCGAAGGGTGAAGCTTTGTGCAGGGGATGCCATGGCCATACAAGCATACTTTTGTACAATGCAAGCTAAAAGTGACGGGTTTTTTTAGCATGGACCTTGATGACGACTCAAAGTTAAAAAACCTATTTTGGGCAGATAAGAGGTCTCGTCTTGCATCAATCCTTTTGTTTAGAGTGTTCTTTAAATCTTCAACACTTCTAAACAACAAATCAAGTGTGTTGTCCTAAAACAATTTAAGGAAATAAGTTAGTAAAAAATCAAAAATACATCAAGCATATGGTAATGATGCTTTTATCAAATTCTCAACTATGATACCATCTTATTTGCGACTTCTTCAGGTTCATTAGGGAATAACAACTGCTTTAGAGAGTGGTACTGTGGGCATTTCTTGGCTCCCCAACGTAACAGTGGACATTTTATCTCTTGATTACACTGAGCAACCTCGTCGTCAAGCACTGGAAACGTCTCATAAGCCCAAATTTGAGAAAATAAAACACATGGAAATGAATACTTAAATTATACATGTTACAAAAGTTCACAAAATGTGTCTGTTTTTTTCATGTCAGACAGATGATGTGTCTGTTTTATTCATGGCACACAGATTTTTTATTCTGTTTTATAAATATACACAAACAGATGTGTCTGTTTTATTCAGAGCCTAAGTGAGAAGTGTTAGTGTTTTCCATGTCCTAGTATAGAAGTGTCTGTTTTATAAATATCCTGAAATCTGAAAAAACAAGACAGTGTGGAAATCAATACTTTTTATGAAACATCATATAAAAATATGTAGAAGAAGAAATATAAATTAAACTTACCTGTAGAACAAGTGGAAATCCATACAACGCATATTTCCAAGACTTCAAATTGGAGTTGTTATTTTTCTTTTCTTGAAATTTCTCCGGTTGGCCATCCATCATCCCCTTCAGATGTCACACCGTCAAGAGGTATGACTCCCAAGCCCAAGGATATGCATTGAACACGTCAGGGTCATCAACTGCTTCGAGGTGGGAGGCATCAATGCATGTACCTCTATCTTTTGCTAACAGCACATGCTCAACAAAATACAATGAGGCAAGCTTATGTAAATCACTGCCGGGTACATCTTCCTCCGCAGTCATAAACATATTCCGCAAGTGCGCGAAGGTGCATTTCAACGTCCCCCCTCCAAGATACTTTTTGTGAATAGTCTCGGACGAAGACTTCACATTGCTAAAATTTGGATATGACTTGGAAGTCGGCAAACTTGTGATTCGACAGAAATCTTTAAAAGTGAACTTGTGAAGAGTACCATTGATCATAAACCACATCTCGTCTTCAGGTTGTTCGCGGACGAGATGTAGCATAAGGATATGGATGAGTTGTCCAGAAAATTGGAGCTTCCGCACATCCATGAAATGACCGAATGGCATTTTTCGAAAGTTCACCATATTCTCTACACTCAATTTGCTCCTAACTATGGGCACTGCATCTTCTAGTTCTCCACAAACCGAATACTGCGCAGGGAAGTGATCTTTGGTGGGAACCATAAGTGCCATTTTATTGTACCTACAAAATAAACATCCGTCATTGCCATAGTCACCGGATATAAGAGAACAAAGAAAACTAATAACCTTAGTGTAGTACTTCTATTAGAGATATGATAGTAATAAATGGGCAAAAACATGATACGAAGCACGTAAGGAAGTAACACTGAACACATACATTCTGCGTCTGTGAGTAGCATTTCACATACATTTGCCATTTTTTTAAAAACTAAACATGGAATAAAGATTATTCAGAACTTAGGGTTCATAATAGATGATCAAAAAGTAATAATTGAGACAGATAAAACATGATACAAAGCAGGCAAGAACTGTAAACAGAAAATAGATATTCCGCGTCTGTGAATAGCAGTTCACATACATTTACCATTTTTTTGGACATAAACATAAATAACGGTAATTAGGAATTTAGGGTTCATATTCCAAGATGAAAACGTAAAAATTCTGCATATGAATGCCTATTTCTTCTACTTCGGACCACGCATTTCATTGGTGTATTTAATCGCTGCAATTTACCTTTTTGGCTAGAAATTTGATGTAATTAAGCCATTAAAAGGTAAAAATTCAGCATAATAATACCTGGAAGGTGATGATATTGCGAGAGACAATCACCGACCCTGCGAGAGACAATCACCGGCGAGGGATGGCGATGAAGACAATCCCAGGGGATGATGCTGCGAGGCGCAGGGACGGCGCGATGAAGACAATCCCAGGCGATGATGCTGCGAGGCGCAGGAACGGCGAAGCAGGGAAGGTGCAGCGAAGCAAGTAGGGGCGGGTGGGATAAGGGGGAACCTAGAGAAAGAGAGAGAAATTTTATTTTTTTGGGGTGGAGGGAATTTTTTTTAGAGGGGGGGTATGGAGTATATGGGGGACATCCGGTGTACATATCCGGTGTCCCCATAGAATTATCCTTCAATATTATGTCATTTGAAATGGAATGGTACCATGTCACACCAAGGTTAAATCATGCCTTATTGCTTTGATTGGAAAAAAAGTATATGTACTCTTCAAATATGATCTACACAATTTACAAAATAAAAAAATGGTGCATCAAAATGTATATGCATTTTTTCTCAACAAATATATTATTTAGTTATATTTTTTTGACAAACATAATTGAAAACTAAATTTTCTATAAAAAGAATATAAATTGAATTGTAATGAAGTTAATGGTACTCCAAAAAAAAGTATGAACTAAAAAAGTACTCCAAAAGAGTTCTCTTTGAGAAGGCTTCACCAACAAATTGAAGAATTAATGCCTTTCAATTCCAATATGTTTGTTTAACCAAATAAAGAATCGACATCTCATACAAGACTTCATCATTAGAAGAATAGACATTTTTTGAGAAGGCTTCACTAAAAGAAAACCTGGTCTCTTAAGAAAATTTGATAAAACACTGATATTTTTAAAATGATTTACAATTGAAATCATCTAAAAAGATTCACCAATATAATACTCCAAGTTAACGTCTTCAAAAAGGTTTCACAAATAAAAAAACTTGACGTCTTCAAAAAGTATATTTCACCCCATATTTATTAGTCTAATTCCGATTATTAAAGGTCATTTTACCTCTACAATGTTACTCTCTTTGTCCTTTTTGACTTTTTTCGAGACATCTTTTCACGATTTTCAATGTAAAATTTTAATTGTCATTCTACCAATATCTTTATTAACAGATAGCTATATATTATAAAAATATCATATCTCAAAATTTGGTTTAAAATTTGTTGTTGATATTAAATTATGAAATTACTTTAAATAGAAGTAAAACATAGAGAAATTACCAAAACAAGAGTTCTATGTTTTAAATCTCTAAATAGAAGTTCGCATTGTGATAATATGACATCATATATGGGCATTTGGCAAAGATTGGTGATATAAATGCATTTTAACTTCTATTTTGGGAATAAAAACATGAAACTCTTGTTTTAGTATATTTTTAATGTTTTACTTCTATTTTAGTTTTTTTTTCTATTAAATTTATAGTAGGAATTAATTTATATTTTCTAAGATGGGGACATGGGGTTCAAATTTTTTAAGAGACATGGGCTTAGTTTTTGCATGTCTTTTAGCACACGGACAGCTCCACAATCAGGCGGCTATCATCATATCAGCCAGCCATGCACTGATGCAAACATCTGCAACAACAGCTACACATACTACAATTACCATTTACCTATCTGTCACCTCACCTCCACATAAACCTTCCCCAATCCAATCCAAGAAATTGTACTAACTCCCAAGAGAGTGAAAAAAATGGCATCTTTTTCACCTTCCCAAATAATTCCTCCCATGAAGTCCCATCTCAGTGTCACTTCCACTTAATTAACTTGCCCCTGCAATTTCAGGTCATTCGCAGTGGAGAAAGAAAAAAAGATTAGATAAAAGAGTAACACTTCAATTCTGCAAATTTCAAGATCCAATTTTTTTAAATTAGTTTCTTGAATCTGCAATGGCGGATTCTTCTTCTTATTCTTCTTCTTCTGCTGCGGCTGCTGCAGTGAGTATCCGGGTGGGCGAGGTGCCCCTGAAGACGATGATGGTGGCGAAGAGCTCGGTGTCAAGAAGCTGGGTTTTGTTTGACAGGAAAGGGCAAAGCGCGGTTCTTAATTTGGACAAGTACTCAATCTTGAAACGGGTGCCCGTCCACACCCGAGACCTTCGGATTATTGACCCTCTCCTCTCTTACCCCTCTGCCATTCTTGGCAGAGAGAAAGTCATCGTCCTCAACTTGGAGGTCAGATCAATTCTTTAATTAATTTCCATTCTTTTTCTTTACTTTTCTTTCCCCCCACTGTATCTGAATTCTGAACTGTAATTCACCCTTTTCACAGCACATCAAGGCTATAATCACCACAGAAGAGGTAAAAATTTGAACTTTACTTTCTCCCCAGTAATTAAATTAATTCCCTGAACTAGATGCAATCAAGAATCAAATGAAATGGTTTTGGAAGGTACTGCTTCGTGACCCATTGGATGACAATGTTATCCCCATTGTTGAGGAACTCCAAAGAAGGCTGCCTCTGGCGGCTAAGGTCGGCGGCCTAGTTGACAGAGAAGACAATGACCGGCCACAACCAGCCACAGAAGAAACTGATTCTGATCAGCAAACCGGTATACATTTATACGATTTTCTTTCTTCATATATATACCTAACAGATGAACTGGAATTGATGTTGTTTTTTCTGCGTGCATTATATATGAGGAATGCAGAGTTTCCCTTTGAATTTCAAGCTCTGGAAGTGGCTCTAGAAGGTATATGCAGCTCTCTTGACACGCAGACAAGGGATTTGGAGACTGCTGCTTACCCGGCTTTGGACGAATTAACTGCAAAGGTAAAAGAAATGCAAAGTTTGGTTGAGTTTTAGATAAATCTCAGATCAGACATTACAATACAAATGTGCAGATTAGTAGTCGTAATCTGGACCGGGTGCGAAAACTGAAGAGTGCAATGACAAGATTGACGAACCGGGTTCAGAAAGTACGCCAATCTGCTTCATCTTCTTTCTTTCAACTATATATGAGCTTTACTTGCCTTTGTGTAAATGGGCTGTAATTGGGTTCTTGGATATATACTGTGTTTATCGTTAATGCACGAAATCAGTTTATGGTTCGTACGAAAATCAACACGGGCTTAATCATGAATGCGATCAATATACATTCCAGGTGAGGGATGAACTTGAAAACCTTCTTGAAGAAGATGATGACATGGCAGATCTATACTTGTCAAGGAAATTGGCAGCTGCTGCTGCTGCTTCTTCTTCTTCTCCTGAGAGTTGCAAAAATGCCGCGGTTCCTGACTGGTTCCATGACTCTCCAACTCTAAGCTCTCAATTGTCCAGAACAATAAGCAGGAGATCATCAAGTCGGGGCGAAGCTCATCATCATGATGTTGAGGAACTTGAAATGCTGCTTGAGGTTGGTTCCTTCACCCTACAAAGCCCAATTTGAGAGGAAAAAAACGAATCCACTTTTTTGTCCATTATCACTTAATTAATACAAATTTCGTAACAAACCTATTGTCGATGAACCAAATCAACTAAAAACTCAAACTTGCGACAGTAAGCACATAAAAAGATGTTATACGGATGTGTCTTATAAATGCAGGCTTACTTTGTACAGATAGAGAGCACTATGAACAAGCTGACAACGGTTTGCATATACATATACAAATTCAACCTCACTATTATCTAGCCAGTATATAGATATATGCATAGATAAATACTTCATATGATACATGAGTTAACAGAGTTATGGTTTTCTTGTTGGAAAAAACATGCATTGCAGTTGCGTGAATACATTGATGACACAGAAGATTATATCAATATACAGGTAACTAAACGCGATTGTATTGCTTCGTTCCAGCTTGTGGTTGTAGATCTATGAAAGGTTTTATAAATATGCTGGGTCTATATGAATAATGGTGCACCAATTCCTTGGTTGCAGCTAGATAATCACAGAAACCAGTTGATCCAGGTAAATGTCTTTGATATTTGGGCAAAATTGGCTACAATAATGGCTACTTCGACGCGTTATTATGACCCGGGGTATGAATGTATTATGTAGCTGGAGCTGTTCTTGAGCTCGGGGACGGTGTGCTTGACAGTGTATTCAATGGTAGCGGCCATATTCGGGATGAACATCCCACATCCTTGGAGAGACCATCACGGCTACCTTTTCAAATGGGTGAGTACTCTACTTTCCAGTTTCCAACATTAATCATGTTTGGGGAAGGAACATGAATAATGTCACAGACATACACAGGCACAGTTCCAGTGCATTGTCTGTGAGACACTATGGTGTCTGTCACACTTTGTGTGACTTAAGATTCTCCGAGAGGCATAAAAATCGGACTGGACCGAACTTAGTCTAAACCCGGTTTGCACTTTGACAAGTCTTGTTCAATTTAGAAAACACTTGGGCTCGTTTGGTGAGAATAGGAGATATGAGTTTTTATCTCCCGAATTTGAGAGATATCAATGCGGGATTTGAAATCTTTCTCACCCGTCGACCATCAACTGTCATTAGCTACCACTGCCACCACCGCCAACTATCCTGTTTCCGGCGACCCACGCCAACCAGCAATTAAATCATGATTTTAAATCTCTCCAAACTATTTCATTTCCAATTTCGAAAATCATATAATTACTCCCAAATTTAAAAATTCAAACATATTTTCAAAGCTGCACAAATCTTTATTACTCGTTTTTTGTGTTGTGTGTAGGTGGTCATTCTCACCTCAATGATTTGTGGGTCCCTCTTCATATCAATAGTCTCTTATGCGCGTCACAGGGGTCTGGTCGGATGATCTTCTTGATCATTTTCATAGTCGCATCTTGTCAATTGTTGTTATCATAAAAAAATTCGACACCGTATTTGGGGCAATTTTTGGTAGAATAAAACTAGACGAACACTATTTGACTTTTGAGGATTAATATTTGGACAAAATAATATTGCAATCGAAAAACTTTTGTATTCACATTTTATATTAGCCTGAACTATCTAAATATCATTCCAAAGCTTTGGAGTATAACGTGGTGTACACGGAACATGCTTCTTTTTTCAGGCCCTTATGGGTTTATTTTTTTGTTGTCTATGCCAAACCCTTTAGCTTCTTTAATGTGAAATTTGCACTAAATAAGACTAAAACATAAGTCATTATATTTCCAATGTAGAATTTAAACTTTTTATTCCCTAAATAGGACTTAGGCCCCGTTCCGTTCAACTTATTTTTTCTTATTTTTTCTTATTCTTAATAAAATCAGATCAGACCAGATCAGATCAGATCAGATCGAATCAGATCAGATCCAATCAGATCAGATCAGATCCAATCAGATCAGATCAGATCAGATCCAATCAGATCAGATCCTATCAGATCAGATCAGATCCAATCAGATCAGGACTTATTAAAATAAGATCTCTTCAAGAATTATTATTATTATTATTATATTATTATTATATTATTATTATTATTATTATGATCATCATCATCATCATCGTCATCATCATCATTATTATTATTATTATTATTATTATTATTCTTAAAAATGAAAAAGAATAAACTTTAGAAATAGGTTAAATAAAAAGCTAAGAAAGTAATCCTTAATTATTAGACGTCGGAAAAATTAGTTTTAAAATACATTGACAATGTCAATCTAATTCTACTTTTAAAATATATTTTTATTGCTACTTGTAATTTGAGTTTCTAAACTTTTGATCTTTTATAAGGATGAGATATTTTAATAAAAATACTATCTCTTCTATATATTGATTATCTAAATTTAATTACTTTTAAATGTATATCTAAATTAAATATTTATTCTAATATATAATTCTAATTTTACAAAAAAATTATCATAAAATAAAAAATATTATTACATTATAATATGAATGATTATTCTAATATATGAATTAACTATTTTTATTTTATTAAAAAATAATCATTAAATAAAAAATATTGATTATATTATAATATTAATTATCATTACAATTTTCAAACGTTATTATAAAGTCAAATTAAATTATTGATTTGAAAAATTTTAAATTAAATCATAATTAATCAGATCAGACCAGATCAGATCAGATCCAATCAGATCAGATCAGATCCAATCAGATCAGATCAGATCCTATCAGATCAGATCAGATCAGATCCAATCAGATCAGATCAGATCAGATCCAATCAGATCAGATCAGACCAGATCAGAACTTATTAGAATCAGATCAGATCAGAAAAAATAAGTTGAACGGAACGGGGCCTTAATAATATCTAGTGGGGGGAAATGTCCAAGATGGACATTTACTTGAATAATGACTAACTAATAATGACCAAAAGTCTTACATTAGAAAATAAAAACATATGGTCCTATATTGAGAAAATCATTATGTTTTTATCATATTTGGGTAAATTTTGCATCTTTAATTCTCCATCAATTCATGTTGTCATTCAATTTTGTTAGAAAAATCACCTCAATTTCAAGCGAAGGCAATTAATAATTTTCCCATTTTGTGTCGTGAAAAATGGCAAAATCAAATAGCTAATCAAAAATGGTATCCACACCCAGAATTAATCAATTAAATGATAAACGAATATCAAAATTCACGTGGAATTCCAAAATGGAGAAAAAAATTAGGATGTCTTTCACTAATTGTTGAGAAAATCAATGTGTACATCCAACAATCTTTTATATATCAGTTAGAGGTGTACACAATTTTGAAACAACTTGGACACTAGACAATAATAATCTTCACTTAAATGTGAGAGGAAACCAAATAAAAATATAACAGCAAACTAAGACAGTTTTACCAATAGAGTAAATTCTATAATTGGTCCTTTATAATAGGGGGTTTCCCTATTTAGTTCTCTATTATCAAATATTACCCCAGTGGTCCTTCTTTTATGAGTATCTTTCCACAAATAGTCCTTTTTTGATTTTTTTATCATGTTGGTATTAATTTGAGAGCTAAAAAGGTAATTTCACAATGATAATATATCTTTTTTGTCAAACACAATTCCAAAGGTTGTTCCGTTTGCGTCGTTTGTAAATTACATTCGCTTTCTACTACAATCATAGTCTATAAACGTGGTCTTCCGTCAGAATCCTAGGCCACAATCATAGTCATTATTTTTATGTTATCCGCTTAACCAATATCAGAACACGTCACTGGTCATAATGTTGATGTCAAATTATACTTTTAGCCTTTAAATTAACACCTATATGGCAGAAAATCAAAAAAGGACCATTTATGGTAAGACACCCTTAAAAAAATTAAAGGACCACGAGGATAATATTTGATAATAGAGGACTAAATATGGAAACTCCCCTGTTATAAAGGACCAATTATGAAATTTACTCTTACCAATATAGCAAGGTCTAAACAATAATTCCATTGTTAGATATGAAGAAGAGTTGGTTTGGATGTCAATGAAGAAGAGATGTCAAGAAAAACATACTAGAATTTCACCCCGATTAGAGTTGGTTTGATCTTGATGGAAACACAAAACAAGGTTGCACCTCTCTTTCCTCTTCTCTTGGTTGCCTATTTATTCTCTATGCTTTTCTGCTTAGAACGTGACACATCACACCGTTTTTTCTTTTGATGTGCTTGCCAAACCATTCCAATTGGGCGGGCCAACCCACTTTGATGCAGTTCATAACAACAACAACAACAATAATTAATAATACAGCATGATTTTTTTGCATGAGCTATTTTGATCTTAGAATGATCAGAAATATCAACGATGTCCCGTTGATAGAATTGATTGTTTTTATCCCTAACTCCCAATGCGCTCCACCCAGCTCCCCGGCCTAGGTCCTCAATTTGGCCCTTCCAATTCGGCGATCTAGGGGAGATGCGGTAAAGGGGTGCATGAGGGCTTAAGGAGGGGGTAATGGTGGTATGAATCATCAATTTTCCTAACGGGTGCACAGTAAGTGTTTAAAAATGCCAAGATAATTTAAAGTTACTTTTGGCCAAAGTCAAAAGATCTTTGATGATAACAACAACAACAACAACAATAATATCATCTTGGTTTTTATGACATTGGACCAATGTCATTGATGACTCGGGCTCTACCGTATTTTCTTTTGAAATGCATTTTTTGTGATTCGTTCTTATCATTTTGTATTTTGGATAATTGGCCAAGTAGTTCAATTTTAGTTTCATTTTTTACTTTTAAAATGGTCATAACTTAGATTTATCATAAGATAAACTATTTTATTTTTCTATTCGAGACCAATCTAATGAATATAAATTTGGTTATAAAATATTAACTTTAAAATTATTGAGAAAAATTATTCACAAATTATCAAGGTTAGCTCAAGGGCGAGCCTAAGTGCTCTACCAGCTCGGACTCTTTTTTAGGGCCCTAACATTTGTAGTTTTTGAATATATATTATATAAGTTTTTTAAATAAAAGAATTAAACATTTAAAATTTTGAGATAGCTATTACAATATTTAATAATAAATCTACAATTTTATTATGTGTATTACTAGAATATTAATGATTGTTTTAAATAAAATTTATATAATTTAATTTGTTATAATGGTATATTTTTTGTCTCATTCAGGACCATCGCATCCTCGGAGCCGCCCCTACAAGTTATCTAATTAAAATATAAATACATTTAATTTTTCAGTTTTAAACCAAGGGTGCTCATTTTCTAGAGAAGAGAAAGACATTGGTGTTTACTTTCCAACTATAAGGAGAATTGATGCTCATTTCTTAGTTTCGTTTGTTTTTTGTATTTACCATTTTTTTCCCTTTATTTGTTTTTTAATCAAGGTTTTCTAAATTTCTTTTTAAATACGTCTGAAATTAACAATTTTTATTTTTTGTTTTTTGAAATAAAAAAGTAAAACTTTTTTCTGAGAACTTCAAAAAATAAGGAATAAAATAAAACAAAAAATAAAAATGAATATCCTTTTTGCACATCCAAATTCTAATGACTTTTTTAGCGTTATGAGAATTCCTTTTTTATAAGATTCTTTTTTGCTTGTTTCGATAATTTATGAACTTACTAGAGACATATTCTAAAAAACAAAAGGGTAAAAATGTTTAATTTGAGATAGATGAATTATATGTTAATCTTTTTATTTTTATTTATAACACAAAATTTTGAATTTTTTAAAATATTAAAAAATAAATAAATTTTAAAAACTTTTTTAGGAAAAGGAAACAAATAAATTTAAAAAGAGATAAAAAAGAAAAAACAAATAATAAACGAAAAATAAGAAATGAGCACAAGTGCCCCATATAGTCTAGAAAATAGACAACAATACCCCCTTTTCATTAAAAATAATTAGAGGTGATGTGAGTGCAATATTTTGAAATCACGAAGATTTTTGCAATAGGTTTTGAAAATAAAAAAAATTGATATCAATATTTCAAATCACATGGGGGCACTGGAGCTATTTGGCCCAAATGGAAGTATAAAGTGGTGTACTCACATAGTCACGTTACTATATACTCTCTCCATCCCTGTTTTGATTACAAAATGAGAATTACGAGATAAAGTCTTATAATTTTTGAAATCATTTTATTTACAAATTGGTATATCAATAAGAAATAAAAGTTATATGTTAAAAATTACATCAGAAGTTCTACAAAACAAGAGGTTACAAGATTATTATATTTTATCAAATAATCAATGAAAACACATAAATAAACAAAAGTTATCGAGAAGAGAGAGAAAATAAAATTGTTATCAAAATAGGGACGAAGAGAATATTCCATATCATTGTGTTCATATAGACAAATTTTATGAGCAAAATAAATATTTCCTCCGTCTCGGAGTATTCGTTCAGTTTTGAATTTTGGAACTGTTCATTTAAACACATTGACTCATCAAATTCTCTCAATGTGTAAGTCTAAATATAGTCATGTTTGATTTGTCTTAACATATAGATTATTAATATATAATTTCTATAATTTTTTAATATACAAATTACAAGATAAAATGAATTAAAGAAATGTATTGGATGGTGTATAAAAACGAAAGTGGACAAATACTCTGAGACGGATGTAGTATTTTTTTACTACTGAAATAAACATTTATTTTTTTAATAAAAAATAAAATTTTTATGTAAGAAGATTTACAAAAATAATATCCATTAGAAATCATCATTGTCATCATTGTGATCTGTGAGGCGAGCTAAGTCATGTTCATGGTGCATTGAATCCATATGTTAATTGTGAGCTTAGAGACGAAGCATGAAACAAGATGAAGGTATCTCTTCTCTCTATCTCTTTCTCTAGTAAGATACGGAGCATTAATCGAAATATAGTCAGCAGTCAACATCACTGTGCTAACATGCGCACTACGCATTCCCTCCGCGCGACGGCGCCGCGTCTCCCTCGCCGCTAGCTCCAAGACAAAATGGATTACTTTTACTAGACTTTAGCCATAATACAATTTCGGATTCATGCTATTATTGTTATTATACGACGAGCAAACGCCCTTCTCGATTTCGTCTCCGACGCAATTCCCTTCCCCGGCACCGTCACCGATTTATTCGATTCCAGAGCCGCAATTTCTGAGGTTTTTCATTTTTTTAATCGCATTTCTTTTTTTTTACTATTGCGCAGTCTCGAGAGTCCATTGCGTTCCGTAGATTCCTCTGCTCTTTTTGACTTTATGCTGCGAACGAAGGTGGATAGAAATTCCGGACGTAAATTTCGCGGTTCATGCGCGGTTGCGAGCATGCACTATTTGACTGCACTGAGGATCCAGATTCGCTAGGTTTTTGACGAATCGAGGTGTTTTAGACGATTGAACGCTGCGGGGATGTCGAATCAAGCGGTGAAGGCGAGGAGAAAGGCGCTCGAGGCGCGCATGACCTGTTCTCTCTGCAACAAGCTCTTCAGAGATGCTACCACTATTTCCGAATGCCTGCATACCTGTGAGTCTCTCTCCCTTATGCTTTGATTCAATTTGTCGTTCATTCTCCGATGAATTGATGCTTGTGTTGTTTAAGATGTTCAAATCTGGACTGGATTGCTCTGTTTATCTGTATCGATTATAAATTTATTGGATTGAGTGCCATTTCACTGTGTAATTGATCTTCGAGTTCTACAATTTACATGGAGTAATTTTTTTTTCAATTGAAAAAACTCTGGCGTGTTTTTGCAATAATTTGAGGGCTGTTGAAATAGTCTAAAAGTGAAATCCCTTACTCAAATCCATTTCAACCACATAAGCAAGTCAAAAGCTCTACTTCACTATGCTTATAAGAAGAATAAGGGGCCCATATTGGGTAATTGCTACCAAACAGAACCTCTGTGTCTAATTACATTTCGGGGCTAAATAAAGAGGCTACTTGGCTCTTCATTTCCAAATTCTTAAAAAAAAAGGCTTGCTGCAACATATGTCATGCCACATAGACTTGAAATTGGTAAGTTTTGTTTTGCAACATGGAATATTGTGGACAATTTGACACTGATTTATTAGATGTTGCCCAGTTTGCAGGAAATGCATATATAAGAAGCTAACAGACGAGGACTTGGAGAGTTGCCCAATATGCAACATTGACTTGGGTTGTGTCCCGGAGGAGAAACTGAGGTCAGATGCTTTCCTAAACTCATTACTACCACTTCCCAATTGTTATGCATTCAAAATGCATAAACAATGTATTCTTGGGGTTTTTTTTTCATGAGACACATATATGATTAAACTACTGCCCATCATATCCAAATGATACAACAATGTGTAAGAAATAAAACAAAGTTATAAGAAAAGGCGTAGTTAGGACCTCTAAAAATTTGAATTTAGGGCAGGCCGGGAGAGTAATTTATCTGTATATTATTTTATTGCAAAGGTTTTAGACTTAAAGAATAGCTTGTTAAGGAACCTGGGTGGGTTGGGGTGGGCCACGGGTTGGCCCACCCTTAGCTATGTCAGTGAACTTATATATGGATGTTAAGATGGTGATGTATGATATCATTCGGATTAGGCTTTTTGTTGTGTTCCAAAGTTCTTTTCATCTAGACACACTTAAGTTTTGATGTTGATCTTTTTGTAATCTGATTACAAATTAATAACCAGTTCTCTGGCTCCCTGGAGTTACTAAATTTAGTCTAGATGTCCTCTATGATGATAAGATGGGATGACTTACATCGATAGCGAAGATATAAGGTTCTGATTTGTGACTATGGTATTATCACACCTGTTTGTGCAAAACAAAAAAAAAATTATGAGCGTTTTATCTAGGTTCTTATGCTTCATTCGTGGTTCAAATAGATTTTTTGGGTACAAGGCATAGAAGAAACTTGATAATGGACAATGTTGAGTTTTTCCCTCACCACATTTACGTCAGCATGTACCCATGTATAAATGTATAATGTCGATTGCCCATTTGCCAGCATTAACTCCATGCATGCACTCACATGCTTGTATTGGTATGTAATTCACACGCAAGGAATATGAAGATAGAAATAAATGGATTGCACACTTTTTACAGGCCAGATAATACTTTGCAAGATGTAAGAGCAAAGATTTTTCCTTATAAGAGGAGAAAGGTAAAAGCACAAGATGTTATGTGTTCAGTTACATTGCCATTGAAGCGAAAAGAGAGATCGTTGTCATCATTAGTGGTAAGCGCACCCAGAGTAACCACACAATCTGGAATGACAGGGAGAAGATCAAAATATGTTGGTAGAAAACCATTACGAAAATCCACTTTTTCTATCGAGAAATTTATCAACAAAGATGAACCTTCTTCTGAAGGTCAGCTCGATAACTCCACAATACCAGTACCTGAGACTTCAGACAAATGTACTCATAATTTGAGGCAGGTAGATTAACATTCTCTGAATGTTTTCCATCTACCCAGTTGTACGTCTTATGTCATTTCCATATCCTGAACATTATTTATTTATTTTGCTAGAATGTCTCCAATGAAGTTCCTTCTATTCATTCTGCACGTCATGAAGATATAGAAAATGACGCTAAAGAGTGGGAAAAGGGTGTTGATATGTGGAGTCCTTTAAATTGTTTGGTTGAAGTCGCAAATAGGAGTAAATCTTCAAGGTTATTGCCAAAAGGTTCTGCCCTAAAATCAGAACCATCACATATTTCTGACATCGATGGATATGTCTATGAAACTAAAATTAGAGAGCATGGACACAAGTTGAATGTTGAAGACGGAAAGTTGAAAAATTGTCCCACGCCAGAACAAGAAAAACCTAAAAAATTGCGAAGAATTCAAAAGAAAAAACCAGCTTTGGTGGAGTTCAATAATTCTCCAAATGTTGTGCTGGATAATCCAAGAGCTAAATTGGAACGAAGTTATCCAATTTGGTTCTCCTTAGTGGCATCTGTCGACCAGTGAGATTTTGCTTTCCTCTTCCATAGCATATTATTATTGATATAACTTTATATATTTAGTCATGCATTTTTATCTCCCTGGTGTTTTATCATTTCTGATCCTTGGTTCAGGGCAGGAGGTGCACCGTTGCCTCAGATCTCTGCTAGCTACTTGAGAATAAAGTCAGTTCCTTTCTTCCCTTTTCATATTTAGGTTATAATGCTGAGTTGACACATTTATTTGATGATCTCATGATCCTAAATTGACTAATTTAAATTAGACATGAGTTTAAGACTGGGATGTTGTTGCATTTGAGTTAAAATTATATAATTCCCAGATCAATTATTTAAACTTAGATTGGTTAGATCATTCGTATTTGTTAGAGAGGACATGAAATATCCTCTATGGCCTGAGTAAATATTTGCGTAGGTGTTATTTATTGGCCCTCCCTTGGTATACTAGAATACTAGATTTTAGGCAATGAGAATGAATGCTTGTTACAACATGTGAAGGGTGGTGAAGCAATCACTATTCACTAAGGGTATATTCTTGTGTCATCACATTCTGGGAATGGTTGAGGATGGCATAGGACTATACAATTGAATCAAATGTATTGTTCTGTAATCAAGAATGCTGAAAAAGGCTTAGGTATTTAAATCTATTACCCCAAAATATGTGATGCCACCAGATGCCATGCCGATTCTTATCCTCTTTGGTATGGTATTCCAGAAGTGATTGTACTTAGTTTTAAAATAAACTCTCTCCCACTTTCCTAGACCCCACTCTTGTGCGATCAAACCGGGTTGTTATTGTTGTATACTCTCTCCCACTTATAAACAAAATTTTATTATCATAATAGGTGTGTCAAGTCCAAATGAGAATAAAAGCATGGGAGGGAGGGATTGGTATCCTTTGGGCTGCTTACATCTGATTCTTTTGAAGAAGGAAATATTAGTGTTGACTTTTACACTATGTTTGCCTGTTTGGTTCAAGGAATTTGGAAGAAAAAGAAAAGAAAACAATTTTCTCTCATTTTCCTCACGAAAATGGGAGGAATTTGGTTTTTCCTCCACTTAGTACATTTTGCCTTCTCATATTCTTTTTATCTCTAACCAAACAAATAGAAGTGTTTTCCACTTCATTTTCTTTCATTTCCCCTTTCAAATTCTTTGAACCAAACATAGTGTTAGAGTCCAATATGATTTGTTATTTCGTTTGTTTGTTTTTCTTGCAGGGATGGGAGCATTTCTGTTTCTTTCATCCAAAAGTACCTTGTGAGAAAATTGGACCTTATGAATGATGATGAGGTATGACCTTCCTTTTTTGGTTATTCATTTTATGGATCCTTGTTGGCAGTTGAGTTAACTGAATAAGGGATGGATTGGTCCCCAACCATTAGAATAATAATTCTATTCCCCAATTTTTAATTACATCCTGATGTGGCATGAAAATGTTTTAATATAAATTATAAATTGACAGCATGTGAATTAGGTTTCCACCCCACAAGCTCAACATTCCAAATACTAATAAAATATGCACAATTATTAACTGATGATATCTATCACATCACTTAACGAATATTAAGAAAGGTTTTAACCATGTACTCCGGGGTATGCTTTAAGTCCTATCGCGTCAGCCGAATATAATATCGTAAACTACATAACATACAAGACATTAGATCACGTCTATAAGGTCAAATTCTTACAATGTAAACTCAAGTCTTGGCGTGATATCAGAGTCTACTAGGTTCGCATGGGCTTTAAGATTGATCTCGTCCAATAAGCCACAATCTTACGGGGCATGTTATGGAATCTCGTATTGGTCGAATATAGGTTGTAGATTACTCCTAAAACATTATTCATATGAGCTGTACTGAATCCATTATTATTAATGTACGTTTTGAGTTAATTAAATCTACATTTAAATGAACCAGATAAATGGTAGACAAATGGATCCCTTTCACACCCATAGTAATATCTTTAATAGAGGGTGGTGGATGGGAGTAGGGTTAAAAGTAATGTAGAAAGTTCAGCAAATAAATTCAGTTGTAGACTTGACTGACAATAAATTGGTGGATACACACAGGTAGAGATTAGATGTATGGGGCAGTCTCTAGTACCAACATTACAGCTGAATAATTTAGTCGATCTTTGGATCCAAATGAGTAGTAATTCAGATAGACTGCCCGTGAGAATCGGTACTTCCGCGAAAGATTTTGTGATGGTGTTGGTCTATGGTCGTAGACGTCTAGCTTCATGACGATATCACCAATCAAACACAGAAAAGTCTCACTCGACGATTTGTGCTCCTTGAAGACATCCCTTTTTTTCTCTATTTTTTTCGTCCTTTTTTTACCTGTAATATATATTTTTTCTTGTGGTCATACAAAATATAGATTGTACATAACATAAGCATATTGACTTACCACGTTTTCTACGAGGAACAAAATATGTTGTGCACTAGCTTATACAAAGTATATAGTAGAGATGCTTATGCGGAAAATGTTTCAAGTCTGTTTTTTTTGTAGGTTAACAATAGTTTCTATTAGCAGTTTTTGAAAAAAATTGTTTGCTATTGACATTCGTTAGCATCAATTTTTTCTTTTCCCTATGAAATAGAATCTGCCAGTGCATTTTGATATCTTTATGGTTCTTTTAAATTCGTTATCGACATTGATATCAAGACCATTGATATTTGTGTAACGATGTGTACTTCATTAGATTACAAAACATTAGCAAACTCTTTATCAACAGAAAAAAAACAGAACACATTAGCAAACTCAAATTGGGCATATCATTAGAGCATTTGCAATGGGGGCGTGTTTCTGCTGCGCCGCATGACTTCTCAACTCCCGCCGTGCTTGTCGCCCATTGCAGGAGAAGCACCTGAACTTAAGCCCTGCCACTTGCCGCGAGTCCAGCATTGCACCGGTCTCCATTTGTGGCGCTTTTGGACGGGTGGCTATCACTCTCACCCCTCATCTCTCTCAATTCACTCCTATCTCACTCGATTCACTTTATCTTTTCATTTTCTCATTATCCTAAAATAAATCCAATGGCAACAATTTCAACTTTGAGAATTCTAAACTCGATGCCATCATCTGATTTGCATACTCCGGCTCTTTACTCGGTGACGACTTTGCCCCGTTCTCGGTCTCCAACGATAACTCCTACCAATTATCAGCCGTTAATATAACTGGCTATGGCGTTTCTAAGTTGAAGCCCATCAGCGAGGGCATTAGCAAAAGAAAAAGCCAAAAGGACTAACATGCCGAAGAAGTATGCTCCGGCAGAAAGTCTGGCATTGGCGAAGTACTACGTCGACATGTTGGAGGATGCCATCATCAACAACTACCAGAAATCTAAAATGTTATGGGTGCGTGTTGTGGCAAAGTACAACGCCGGGAGGCCCGATGGTACGCATGTACATGACGTGCAGAGGCTTCGGAAACACTAGAGCCGTGTGCACCCGGAAGTCCTGAAGTTCGGTGGCTTATATGCCAACATGCTCAAGACATGGCCCAATGGGTCCTCTGCCGAAGACATTATGTTAAAGGCGTTGGACCTTTATTATGAAGCAGAGAAGAGGGTTTTCAAATTTGAGGAAATCTGAAAAATTCTGTAAAGGAGTCCCAAATTCAGCATTGGGGCGGAAGTCGGGGGATCGGGACCAAAGCAATCTAAACTCTCCGACACTGGTTCGTACTCGACATGCACGGGCGAACATTCCATCAACCTCAACGCCACGGGGGGGGGGGGCGACTTTTCCCATGGACTGGACGACAAACCCAGCGGTCAGAGACGCCTAATCGGGTCAAAGGCAGCAAAGAAGGCGAAGGGGAAGGCCAAGACAACGGCTCCTAGTATGTCACACTCACCAGAAAACCCGACGTTGGACATAATAAATAAAAATCTTGCAAGCATGAGCTTCGCTATTCATTGCACTAACCTCAGCAAGCTCAAGGCAATGTATACATCGAAGATAACAAACATGGAGCTGAAGTACCACCACGAAGTGATGACAGCGACCCACGTCATAATAAATAGGGCAACTTAGTAGTATTTGTTTTTTAAATCTTTATTTTCCAAGCACTTCTTTAGTTTTTCAGCTTTTGTAATTTTAATTTTAAACATGTTAAATTTCTACTTTTATTAATAGTGTAATTCGTAATTTAATGTTGTACTCTTTTATTTTTAATTTATAATTCTTACAAACCTTTTTTATTTTTTAAAAAGTATCCATATTTTTTAGTTGAGAATAAATATTGGTATTAAATTTAGGAAAGACCATCCAAAATAATTCCAACTTTACCTCGTCTTTCAAAAATAATATCATCTTTTTCTCTGTTCATAACAATCCCAACTTTATTGAAATTTATGTGTTTTGGGTCGCTGTTAAGTTGCTAAATGTGAATTAACGGAAACAGCCTGTTTTGCGTAACAAAATGAAATTTGAGATTATTTTTGATGAATTCCATTTTTTTTAAATTTTTATTTAAATTTTTAAAATTACTTTCCACCTCTTTTTCTTTTTCTAAAGATTAGTCTTACTTTATAAAAATAAAAATAATAGATATAAAAAAACAAAAATGAGAAAAATAACTAAAACAATACAAAAGTAATGAATAAATAAGGTAACCAATAGAAACTAACTTGAAACTGGTAAGAAATAAAATAAAAATATTTGAAGTGGTGGGCATTAATATTTTATGCAGCATACAAAGTATTCAAATCTTACTTTTCAAGTTAGTTTTTATTGATTACCTTATTTATTTCATTAATTTTGCATTATTTTAGTTATTTTTCTCATTTTTGTTATTTTTATATCTATTATTTTTATTTTTTTAAAAAGTAAGACTAATCTTAAAAAAAAGAAAAAGAAATGATGGAGAGAGAAAGTAATTTAAAAAATTTAAATAAAAATTTCAAAAAAATTAAAAAAATGAAAATTCATCAAAATTAATCCCAACTTTTATTTTATTGCGCAAAACATGCATTTCTGTTAACTCGATGTTAGCTACTTAACGGTGACCCAAAACTTGCAAATTTCAGTTAAATTAGAATTATTATGCATCACAGTGAAATATAAGATTATTTTTGAAAGATTGACTAAAGTTGAGATTATTCTAGATACTTTTTTCTTAAATTTATAGTATAAGATTTGAATTAAAAAAGATGAATAATGTAAAAGAAACAAAGAGACGAGTTTTTAATCGCAATAACATTGCTGGATTTTAGGCTGGGATTGAAAGTTAGTGGAATGCTATAGAAGTTGGGGCAGGGCGAAATTGCTCTCCATTATAAATGATTTAATACGACATTTAAGGGATTTTGGTACCAACAACTTGCCATGTTTTACATTGCTTGATAAGAAATGTCTTCGTAGGAGTAAAATGTTATCAAAATACTAAAATAAGAGTGATATTGTTTTTATCTTCTAAATAAGAGTTTGATAGTTTGAATGATGGTAGTTTATGTATATAAATCAAAATGAACATAATGAACATTTTTTTACGTTTGTGATGGTGTAAATTATCTCGACCGGAATATCGTTCTAAGTCGGGCAAGGACGATAAACTAGTCTAACAAAATACACCAAAATATAAACACAAGAATTTCGACGTAGAAACCCAATCGGGAGAAAACCACATGCCTTTTTTGGCGGTACCTTGCCAATAGGGGATTTTTTATTGATATCGAGGGTTGTATACGGTCCACTATTTAGACTTAGAAGCTATTAATGGTGGAGCTACAAGCTATCTAGAGAGAGAAACAATATATGACAGCGGAGAGAGAGCAGAGAGACCTCCTTCTCTTGGTGAAGTAATGCTTCTTTTATAAGAGTAGCACGAGTATCTACGGGGGAATCTTCTCTTATTCCTCCATTTTATTAAACATGCCCGGTTGGCGGTTTGACTTTTATTTGTAAATAATTGGGAAATGTGGACCGAGGCACATATTATTTCCATAAAAAAGTCCTCCACTTTTTTAAGTTGTGAGAATCATGAACTTAAGAAAGTAAATAAGCCTCTGAGTGCTATCTTCAGTCTTTGTAATTTGTATTCTTCACGAGTTGATATTGCTAGTCCTCTGAGTCGGGAGAAAACCACGGTGGACTCATTTGAGATTGCTTTCTTCAGTCTTCATAGTTTGAGATACGTATTTTTATTTTAAAATAAATAAAAATAATAATTATGTGATAAAATCCATCTGACCTTGTGAACTTTACCCATGAAATAACTTCTCTAGAACTTTTATCACGGAATAACACCACAGTTCAAATGACATTAAATTTCCATGTCATAAGATAATAGAAGTGTAACACCCTAATTTGTCTAGGTCTGCAGCCCTTTTGAAATAAATTATAAATTTAGTAATCGCAATATTTAAAACATTTCAATAGTTGAAACTTTATTTCATCATCATAAAATATTTAAAAACATTAACAGAGTTTATCAAATATGCTGAAGCTTAATAATTTTACATCACAATCATTAATTTATTTTTGAAATAATTATTGAACAGTTCAAAACCATCACACATCCATCTGACATATCAAGTCCCCATTTATTGCATGGATCAATCACATCATTCTCTCTTTCGTTTACCTATGTGTGGGAAGTAAAACATAGTACATGCTTCTCAAACACATAATTAAAAGGTGAAGTGCCAATGAGATTTTTGTATGTAATGCCATATAATCACAATGCACTCTTAAGCTTTTCAATCAAATACTGCTAGAAAGATTACCAACCTTCTCAAGAATGCTTTTGATTATGCTGTTATAAAGCTTAAATTGGCTATTTGTTTGTAGATGGTATGAGGTAAAAAGTTGGTGATGAACCTCATACTTATTAAGATTTCATCCCAACATTTTTTAAATAGGTACCATTATAGGTGATGATTGTTATTAGGACTCATAAATGTAAAAACGTATTCTCTCAAACAAATTTGATCACAACTCTAGAATCATTGAGTGAAACAGCCTCTCTACTTTCGAGTAGGTCTGCATACACACACCCTCCCCAGACCCTACTCTTGTGAGATTTAACTGGGTTGTTGTTGTTGTTGTTGAATTTTTAAGACAAGCCACCTATAGTTGAGTAAATAATTTATATGCTCATTTATCATCATTTACTTCTTACCATATATATAGTGTATTGTATTATTTTAAGAAGTGCTAAATAATCACTTAAAAAAAGCCCAACGATTAAGTGAGGTTTAATCAGGGACTAAGGGATTTTAGGTAGAGATAAATCATAAACATATAAGAGAAGTTGTGTATAGGTCAAAGTCCAGACGAAGCAAGCAAGAATATTTAAGACAATGATATACTCACACTCTTACGTGAATCACTTCGCACAAAAATGGATGTATAATACAACTTTATAAAACATACTCACAATCTATGTGACGTTAATGTCTTGTGTTAACTTAGTATTATACGGAATGGTTTGTGAAATATGTTAATGTTGACTTGCATTTAAACGAATATTTTTATGTTGAGTCGGACTCAGATTCTGGCGATTCTTGATTCTAAAGATCCCTCATTTAAGTTAGCATCACATCCAATACAAGAATTAGGCTCATGCTTGAAAAATTGGTCTCCAATGCTCAAGAAATGAAGAACACTCAATATGAACTCCTATATGGACCACTTCCCATTCTAAATTAAATATCTCCCAAATGAAAAATGCTATAAATTCACAAAAATGCTCTCTAGAAAGCTTATGAAATTCCCTACACATCACAAAAAGAATCATTAAAATCCATCAAGTCTAGGTCAAGTTATGGACAAATCAGTTGAGCATAAAAGCACACACCAACTAACCAAAAGAGCAAGATTTGGTTTGACCCCAATGAATTCTTGATGCCACCCGCTTACCACAGCCGTCGATAGGGCTTAATCCCACGGCTGAAATTCAAACATTTCGGACCGCTTCGATCCGCCGTGAGGCGTCTCGGCCAATCAGAATATACGACTGGCGGAAGCCTCGCTATTTAAGTCCTCCGCTTTCTCCTCCTTACATCACACACACACCGCCGGCGAGATTAAGCGAAATCCTTCACTAGATTCTCTAGATTTCACCCCAATCCTCTCTAATGGCAACCGAAGATCAAACCGTCGCCGTCCCCGAGCTCGAGGCTGAGCAGACCGATGCTGAGCCGGCCGAGGCGGAGGAGAAGGCCCCTCCGGTAGGCATGTCCAAGAAGAGGAAAGCCAAAGAGACCAAGGCGAAGAAACCCGCTGCGAAGAAACCTGCTGCGAAGAAGGGTCCTGGCCATCCTCCTTACCTAGAGGTACAGATTTCATTTCGTTATCGGCTTTCTTCTCCGAATGTTATCGAGGATTTTGGTTTTTATCTGTTCTGATCTGGAAATTCACGCTCGGATGAATTTTGCTACGCAGATGGTTCAGGATGCGATCACGACCCTCAAGGAGCGGAACGGGTCCAGTCAATACGCGATCCAGAAGTTCATCGAGGATAAGTATAAGGGTCTTCCTTCGAATTTCAGGAAATTGCTGCTGGGTCAGTTGAGGAAATGTGTCGCATCTGATAAGCTTTACAAGGTGAAGGGTTCTTATAAGATTCCCTCTGCTCGCTCCGCAGCTCCCAAAGCCGCGGCTCCTTCTCCCGTTCCGGCTAAGAAGAAGCCTGTTGTCTTGGCTGTCCGGGCACCAGCTGCCGCCTGCAAAGGGAAGAAGGCTACTGTTGCTGCGAAGACCAAACCTGCGGCTAAGCCTGCTGCCAAAGCCAAAGCGGCCACCACCAAGGTAGCTGCGAAGCCTGCCGCCAAACCCAAAGCGGCCACCACCAAGGCAGCTAGTAAGCCTGCGGCCAAACCCAAAACAGCAGCTGCCAAGCCGGCAGCGAAACCCAAGGATGCGGCCAAGGCCGCAGCAGTGAAACGAAAGGCTCCAGCCAAACCAACGCAGAAGGAGAAGCCAGCCGCTAAAGTAGCCAGAACATCCACCAGGACTAATCCTGGAACCAAAGTGGCTACTCCAGCCAAGGCTGCGCCTAAGAAACCAACACCAGCAAAGAAACCACCGGCAAAGGCTGCCAAGTCTCCGGCGAAGAAACCAACCACTCGAAAGGGTAGGAAGTGATCATCGTAGACTATAGATGTTGGTTGATCAGGATTTGATGTAGTGGGGTTGTTTTGTAAATTTCCCCAATCGTTGTGCTCTAGAGATTCCGTCCAGAATTCTTTTTTTCTTCCCCCCCATTTTCATCTCCTGTCTTTTTCTGTGTTCTAAATGTAAGGAATTAGCCAGCAAATCTTGCTGCCATTGAAGGTCTAATACAGTAATGGAAGTTTTATGGTTTTACCTATTTTGGCTGTTCGATACAACTTAGGAAGTTTATATTACTCCCTATTTCTATTCATTTGTAATGGTGCGACCGAAAAAATGATTTAGGGTTCTAAGAAGTTTGATCTCCAGAGTCTTTGAACTAGAAATGAAAATGTGGTTCAAAGCCTTATTAGATCCTACATGTGAACGCCATGGATGAGGAAGAAGAAATGGGTCGCAAACAATGTCCTCTATCATTAGGTATATATCTTCTTTCTCTACACATTATTTTCTCTCATGACTATATTTTTTCTTTCTTACTTTGCTCTTCGAAGAGCCTTATTTAACCAATGAAAGTGAAGATGCATACATGAGATATTCTATTCTGTAACTGTGAAAATGGATTCAGCATGAATACATAAACATGGTTGCTACAAGTTATCCTGAAGTCTGCTTATCTAGGTAAGGAACTCGAAGCTCAATGCGATCATCCAACCAAACACTGCCTAAAAGAACAATTACTGCTATTGTTCATCACCAACTCTATGCTTATCTCAATGACTAAACAGCAACTGGCATTGATATGAGGGTCTCTAATGTGTACATTGGGTTGTTTTTGTTCTTCTTACTTATTTGTGATAGTTGAATAAGCCGTGAGTGGATGACATTTACTTGAACATTCATTCTCACCATCAGAAGTCTTTAAAGTGTCCTTTTTGAGTTCAGCAGCCAAATGTGCTCTTAGGGATTGTTATCAAACAGTCTACTTGTTGATGGTCTGCATTATTCTACATGCATTTCTTTCAAGATTGAATAGTTTACCTTTCTTTCCTTTTCAGCTCTCCATGTGCTTTGTTGTTCCAAGTTGTAAGAGGATTGTAATGTTTCCCTAATGGGAACTTGGAAGTAATGGACTTCGTCTACTTCGTCGAGGTGAGTTTCATCAAGATTTCTTGAATATCATTCTTACTAAGATGTATCTCAAACTCCTTTTTTTAAAACCATTTCCTTGCATACAATTCTGTTTCTTATTATGATTGATGATGTAATGTGCTATCTCAAACTACAGATGTTGTTGGATTTGGTCTGCATTTGGGAATTTACTAATGAAGTGATTCTATTGGGGAAATAATAGAAATAAACTAATAGGAATGGAAATTATTAATGATCCAATCCATGAAAGAATTCCTTCTAAAATTCCTTAGCTCTTGTACCACTTAAACCAGAGTTTAGCTTTTTAAAATTTACTGTGTTTCTTAATCTTAATTTGCTGGATTCCTAATTTTATTGATGTGTCTCTGCTTCCATCCTCTTTTATGCTTTCGCATCACACTGGACGCTTCCATTACACTCCACAAACAATTTAAGTGATAAAAGTTTTCTGAAAACTAGTAAGAATACACTTTCTCTCATGCACTTTTGCTGAATTTCTGTAACCACAAGCTTAGTTAAGAGCCCTAGACATAAAATTTTGAGACATCATCCGTTCCTATTTTTTTGATTACTGGTTCTTAGTTCACTCAGTTCGATTTTTATTGGTACGGGGAGGTCTTCATTTTTCTTCCTTTCTGAATTTGCTTCCATGGAAGATGAACAATGTGCTTCCTACATCAGTACTCACTTGTACCTGTAGAAGTGCATGACCATTGTGAGAGATTCAGTAAGACTTGTTTGTGAGACTCTTAGGTGTTTGGGGATTTTGGGGGGGGGGCATAATTTTTAAAGAAATGGGAAGGTATTTAAGCTGCATAAAAAATAATGTACATGTTTCTATTCTGATTCTTATGTGTCCATTCCTTTTGATAATGAAAGTTTTCAATGGTGAAACAACACCCTTGTCAATGCTATTAGTGGAGTTTGGAGACGAGTTGTATGTTGAACATAAGCGTAGAGACATTGTTTTCAAGAGACGTCTGATTTATTAAACAAACCACTTGATAGAGAAATAAGAGAGTTAGAACAGAATAATTGTTCTCTCATATTCTTCTAGTTCTCATTCAAGAGTTGCTTCACTGCTCCATTTGGGTTTGCAAAAGACTCGAGGGGTCAAGAGATACTTCTTTAGTTTTTCAAAAGCATTTTGGAATTCTATGTTCATTGAAATTTTGGCACCTTATTCATCATATAGGACATACTCTTTTCGCCTAACTTTGATAAAAAGCGGCCGAGGACAACCACTCTTCTTGTGGAGCGTTAAACCTCTTTTACTGAACATGGCGCTTCCATCTCAAGACTTGCTTTAAACTTTTTGGGATTTAGCTTGATACCTCATCGACTGATGCGGTGATCCCAAAAGTACAGAGGTAAAGTCGAGGTTTAAATTTTTTTCATAATTTGAAAAACCTTGCTTAGATCGCCAGCGTGGATTGAGGAATGGGTGCTTTTAATGAGCATATCATCGACGTATGTCGCCATCATCTTCCCAAGCACACATGGGAAGACTTGGCTCACCACCCTTGTATACGTGGCTTTACTGTTCTTTAGGCCGAATGCCATCACCAAGTAGCTATAAATGTTCTCAAGAATTATGAAACCTGGCTTCATTGCATCGTCTTCATGCATAAAAATTGCTGATATCCTTAGAATACGTCCATGAAGGGCATGAGCTCCCAACCAGCCGTCTTATCTCATCGATGTTCGGCACAAGGAATGGTCCGGTCGTGCGTGCTTTGTTTAGAATTAGATAAATCAACGCACATTGGAACATTGATCCCTTAAAAGTTCGTAAGCCATGAGGGATACTTCACTCTTGATGTGAATCTCCACCTTTCTTGACAAACTCCTTTAGCTTCATTTTGTGCACAAATGCCTTCTCTTTAATTTGAACAGTTCCTCTGCAGGATCGACAACCAATATATATGTAATCAAAGCTCTGTCCACACCCAACATACCATCAACACTTCAGGTAAAGACTTCAAAATTCTCCTTTAGCACCTTGATAATTTGAGCTCGAAGAGATGTGCCGAGGTTCGCCCCCAACTTGATTCTTTTCTTTGGTGGTTCAACACATAATTTCTTCTGATACTTTTTTTGCGAGTTTAAAATCTCGGCCTCCCTTCTTTCTTGCATCCCAATGTTCTTTGTAAGATGTCGTTGAGCCACAACAACAATATGCTGACCCATCAACGAGGTTTGTTGCATGGTCGTCGTTAAAGTTGCCTAAAAAAGCATTCATATCCACCAGTGGCAATTTTTCCACCTTCATTGAGCCACTATATAAAACACTGTTATCAGATAAACACCATTGTAGCTCGCAATCTGACCTTGAGGCTCGATTGGGTCATCATTACAAGCCATCACTAATGCCATCTTGCGGTTGCACACCCGCTCATACAATCGATATGCTCGTGGCGTGGACATTCTCCATTATTGCCATGAGAAGCTCGCGACAGATAATTGTCAGAGATCTAGATCCATCAACGTTGTATGCACACTGACATTTTGATTGTGCTTGCACGCTCCCGTCCGTTCGTTGACATGAGATGTGTCTTTGCTCGTTCACCACCACAAACTAAGCTTTCTGTTGTCAGAATATCCTATTGACATTATGACATTAGAGCAGCTCGATTCATGACTAAATTCTCAATGAGAGCACAAATGAATGATTTGTGAAATTCAAGGATGAGAGAGTAATTCTAGTGAGAGAAAATAAGATTTTAATTTCATATGATGAATTTGAGAAAATGATATCGGATCCTCTCCTAGCATGCTGGGGATGGCTACTCGAGTTACAAATGTCAAATGGGCTTGGTTTGGTCCAACATGCTAGACTAACCCAACAATCGGGATAATCTACTGAATAAATTTGTAAGTCTTTGATGACGAAATGCCAACATTAATCTTCTAGCCGAGCATCACACTCGGCCCAATCTTCAGACTACTTCTATTCATAGAAGAATACAAATGGCGAGCAAGACTACAAGTTACAAATGTTCAAGGATGAGAGAGAATAATTTTAGTGAGAGAAAATAAGATCTTAATTTCATATGATGAATCTGAGAAAATGATATCGAATTCTCTCCTAGCATGCTGGGGAGGGCTACTCGAATAACTCGAGTTATAAATGTCAAATGGGTCTGGTTTGGTCCAGCATGCTAGACTAACCCAACAATTGGGCTAATCTACTGAATAAATTTTTAAGTCTTTGACGACGAAATGCCAACATTAATCTTCTAGCCGAGCATCACACTCGGCCCAATCTTCAGACGACTTCTATTCATAGAAGAATACGAATGGCGAGCAATAAAATTCTTTTAAAATTTCATCGTGGTTCTTTTGATATTAAAAAAAGTACTATGGGCTACGACGATATATAGTGTCGTATTTTTATAGAATATCTATATTTTTATCCAAAATAAGAGTTAAAATGTCAATTACGTTAACATATAATACCAAAAAATACTATGAACTACAATATACAGTGTCAAATGTCACATGACAATAGTTCAATTTTGGATTTAACAAAAGGAATTTTTATTTTGACACTACTCCTAGCATAGTAGATGTCTTTTGAAAACAAAGAATCTAATTTTATACCACTTTCTTCCCATAAAAAAATTTATATCTTTTCGTTTCTTTTATAAAAAGTTTTACTTTTGACCTTTTCAAAATTAAAGTTTTTGTGATCCATATGATTTTTCTCCTCTGCACAACTTTAACTACCTAAATTTATCTTTCTGAATTTCGATGTCAAATTAAACGTGAAATCTTTTAGGGTATGTTTCGTTGCAGTGGAGGGGAAGAGAAGGAATGAATGGGAAGGGAAGGGAAGAGGATTCCCTTCATCTTGCTTGGTTGGGAGTAGGGATATAAACGAACCAAATCGAAGCGAATAACGAGATATTTGAATTTGTATTTGTCTAATTTTTTCGAATACGAATCCGAATTCGAATATGAGACGAATTCAAAATAAGATTTTTAATATGTATTTGATTAATATTCGAATAGTTTACGAATTCTAAACGAATATCTGAATAATCATACTCTGTAATTTATATGAATATATGAAGGACCAACATCAATTTGTAATTTAACTTACGAATTTATGATACTCCTTATACTATATTACACTCTATATCTAAAAACATTAATACACTTGAATCTTACATAAATTATATTTCATAAAATATAACTATAAAAAATCATATGCTTTAGATTTTTGTATTATGTTAAGATGTTGAATTCTTAGTAATGTAATGCATTTTATCCTATATTAGTTTGTATGACTATTAATGTTGAAAACATGGTCTGTGTTTATATATATATATATATATATATATATATATATATATATATATATATATATATATATATATATATATATATTCGAATATTATTCGAATCGAATATATCACTATTTGTATTTGTTTAATATTTGAATCAAAAATAATATTTGAATTTGAAATTTGTATTTGAATAATGCGAATTCGAATCATCATATTCGAATACGAATCACGAATCAAATATTTTATTTATATTTTTCATTTTTTAAACTTATATATAGACACACACACATGGGCCTACATTAGCGTTCTACATCTGGACTCGGAGGCATAGAGCCCAACTCTACATCCCGATCACTGTACCCTGAAACATCTAATTTCCCGATATCCACTAGGAATATATAATCTCCCCGTCCCTCTCTGGTCTCGTCTTCCTTATTCGACAATTCACAGTTCATCCATATCCGTCTCCAGGTATTTCCTTATTTTTTCTAAGCTCACGTGACTCCATCTCGAGCCATTATTCATATATGCACATGAAGTTTAATCGCTAATGAAATTTCGTATTTCGAATCTGAAACCCCAGTCCACTGAAATTCTATTAGACCTATACTTTATGGAAAACGTTGACACTTTTTAGATCTTATTTTCGCTTTTTGGACAAGTATCTTCTTTGTTATGGTAGTTGTATATGTACGGAGTGTATTTCAATTTTTCAATTGTTGATGATTTTTTAATGTAATCGGCTGTTTATTGCTTTGGTCTTTCAAAATTATGTTCGTGCCAATCCTCACATTTTCAAGTAGAAGTTAAAAATATAAGAGCATGCCGAACTTGCTTAATGAGATTCCAATTCTCTATTACTTGGACTCTATACTAGGTTTATGTTATCATTATGAAAATTATTGGATACATACTAAAGGTTTTTGTTTTGGATCAATTCTCCAGAAATGGCTGAACAAAATATTGGGGAGCAAGGAACAGATAACATGAATCACATGAATGACACCCATGATCTAGATAACATTCATGGTATGATTGATGTCCTTGCTATGGGCAGTTTGCAGGGATTTGATGACATAAACAATGGAGACAAGCTGAACATTGCGGATGCTGTGCAAGACATGGCTGGCGGCCTTGATTTTGATTGTTTGCAGGATATAGATAATGTTCTCAATGCTGAGAATGGGCATAACAGCAATGGAAATCCTGAATTAGATAATCTGAATGAAGCGGAGAAGGTGCAGGAAGCAGATGCAACTGATTTGCAAGGCTCACAGAATGATGCTGGTAGTGGTGAAGAAAAGAAATGGCCTGGTTGGCCTGGAGAAAATGTATTCAGGTTGTTGGTTCCCGCCCAAAGGGTTGGGGGTATCATTGGTCGCAAAGGGGAGTTCATTAAGAAACTTTGTGAGGAAACCAAGGCACGAATCAAGATTCTCGATGGCCCACCTGGGACCAATGAAAGAACTGTGAGTTTTCCCTAGATATTTGACAATTAACATGTTCTTCATGTTCCCTCCAACAAGAGCTTTCAACTTCTCACTACCCATTTCCCTCACTGTTATCCCATTCAAGCATTTGGGGGGTTTTTGTGCACTTGGAACCTTGTGAGCACATGTCTTTTTGCTCATTAATCTCCACCAACCAATTCATTAGTTAATGTATTGTGTAGTTGAGGAGGTTTGGCTGGATAAAGTGAGGTGTAACTCTCATCAAGCATTGAGGTGTAAGCTTCAAATTCTAGCACAAATTTGTATAAAATAAATACTAAAAATACAAAATAAATATTACTTAAGATAGTTGAATAAAGTATCATTTAAAATTCATTAAACTTCATAGTTAGGTTTAATGGAAATATGTCATGCACTCATAATACCCCAAAGTAGTAAGTTCAAGCATTGCATTTATTAAAAATTGTCTTGAAATATATATAGATCGAGGAATGGATGAGGGCTATTACTATTTAGTAGGTTGAAAGTTGGATCAAAACCACTAGTGTCTCTTCCAATAGCTTCATGGAGATTCAAATAATCTAATTTTTAAACACCAATAAAACCATGAAGATCTAATTCATTATTCTATAATGTAGTCATCAAAGGATTCAAACATGGCCTAACTTGATATAAATGTATATTACACTAATATTGCTTTAGCCTCAACTAAGCCTCATGCTCTAGCATGTTGTGCAAGCAACGACACCGCTCGAGCTGGGTTGTGTATGTTTGGTATATATCAAAAGTCAAAAGTCTAATCTTTTTATCTAATGCTCACTTCATCAGCCTTGTTTTATCTACATACACTCCATATCCAAGTATATGGCTCTTCCTGTTCCACTAATTTCTTTAGTTGTGTCTTGTACATTTTTATGGGCCGTTTATGTTTAGGTTCCGACCGAAAAAACTGACTGAACTGGACTGATGGTCCAGACCCAACCCGAACCGAATAAATTTCGGGTGTCCAGTCTTTTTAGAATTTTGGGTTCCGGTCTGGTCCGGTCCAAACCCGATAAAATTCGGTCTGGACTGATGGACCGATTAATAATACTCCGCATGTTTTTCAACCTTATCCGATAACAAATGCTTTCCCCATTTTCATCTGCTCGGCCACCGGAGATAGACAGAGCAATTGTGACTCCGTGAGCATTCTCCGACCTCTACAAGGCAGAAACAGTAGCTCAACGGCAACCATCTGCTTCAAAGTCTCTCATCCCGACCTCCGGTAATCTAATTTGATCTATCCTCAACTTCATCCCTGGCCTTCAACCTTCGGTAGTCCAGTATGTAAATATCTTCTTACTCTATCCCACTTCCTCTGCTTCTTGGAAGGGCATTTTGATTTCACCCAAAAAAGAGATTCATCAAGTGTTGTTTTGAATTTTAGAATTGTATTTTGGTTTTATCCAAAAAAGACTTATCTATAGATGTGTTGTTTTCAAGAAAAAAAGATGTGTTGTTTAAACTTAATCTTGAATGTAAAAATGCAGTTTGTTACTGAAACTTAACTTTTAATGAAATTTAGAATAGTATTTTGATTTCATCCATTTTGATTTTCGGTACTATATTGTATTTAATAGATGTGTTTAAAGCTGCTACAAATTAGAGCATCTTCTGTATATCATAATGTGTTGTATTGTTAAAATCACCCTAAGCTTACATGCTGCAGTTTTTGTTCTATATGCTTGGTATGGTGTTTTAAAATAGGCTAAGTAACTGCAAATTTGGGTGTGTTGAGATTGCTGCTTCGAGGCGTTGGTGTTAAGATGCCAAAGATGTTGCATCTTCTATTTCTACGAATGCCAAAAAAATGTTATGATGTACTGTTTCGATTTACTCCACTATTAATAAACATATACTCCACTTTGTATTTTTTTTGGAGCAAGATGCATTTTGCATTTTGATTTTTGAACATATGCAGCATTTTTCATTTTAATTTTATTTGTAACATTGGCTCCAATGTAATTCGGTCTAGGTCGGTTCGGTCTGAAATATTTTGGTCCAGTCCGGGCCAAAACCGAGGATTTTTAGGTTCGGTCCTCGTTCCTTACTTTTGTCCATTTCGGTCTTTGCTCCAGTCCGGTTTGGTCCGGTCCAGTCTTGGATCGATGAACAACCCTACATATTTATGCTCCTTTTCATATTCATGTTCTGTTTTTCCTTTTTTGCAAACTAACGTTGTTTAAATTTTTTTTAACTATGAGGTTAAATTATTATTCTTTGCATATCTGTGTGTAACTCAGTTTTGTTGGTCGTTGTTCATACTTGTGTGACTTTCCTCACTTCTGCATTTTATTTGATGTTTATCTTCAACATCCACCAAGTGCTTTTTTTTTAGCTATTTGTGCAATATTTGGTTTTGAAATGTTCAGGCAAGAGATATGGTCTTACATCAGATGGCACACGACACACTAGTAATACTTAATTCGAACTTTTAATTATGACTAAACCATAGAGAACGCATAGATTTCCGTCTATTGATGTGCATTCAGCTATGAACGGTATTACTGGGAATTCAACAAATTGAACATTATTTACCGAAGAATCAACCTATGAACGGTAAAAATGCTTATTCCCGATAAATGCTTACACTCTTCAAAACAAAAATTATTGATTAACACATGCAATCAGCTAGCAATATTTATAGGCAAGAGTAAATGTCAATGAAACATGTTTGGAAGGTGAAACATAAATGTATTCAGCTGCTCTTCTGACCAAAACACTTCCAAAAATTCATCATCGAATAACACAAGTATATACTATATAGCAGTTCCTTTATCATTGTAATGAACATGAATGCATGCAGGTTCTTGCTAATTTAAGGCAACTTTTGATGTGGCTTCAAACTAGAAGAACCAAACATCCAGATTGCAGCTTTGAGCAATGCAACTGCTGAATTTGTCTTCTGACGATGTTTTTGACGTATCTCGTTGATACATCAGTTCAAGAAGCTTTGTTGGACTCCATCGGGTAACTTCAGGACTTGGTCGATTGGTCTTTAGTCCAACAATATTAATTAAAAACTAAATACAACAAAAGAAACCAACACATTTCAATTGAAGAATTAATAACTGGTCTGTAATATAAATTCACCAAACATCAATAAATTGACCCCAAGATGTTCTTAAGAACTGTATAAGTTGTAATTGTCAGCTAATAATTGTGAACATTTTCTATGTAGATGTAAGATGGACAAACTTTAATATAATGAAGTAAGCTATGCTTATTAATATTGTGTTAGCAATCTTAGCATGTTAAGCAATTTACTTAGGTATTAGTTAATGGAAAACTTTAAAATGGAGATATGCAAACTAAAAAACTGGTTAATCAAATCAGAAAAGCCATACATTAGTTTGCTTTCTTTGACCTATAAACATATTGGGGATTGACTGAAAGCATTTGTTGTAAGGTGGATTTAGTTTTAGTCAGTTCTATAATACATTGGAATATTGGATCTTAGCACTGAAGTGCCACTGTGCATGCTAAAGGATATTTGTCTCCATATATTATAGACTTGCTGGTGGTGACCAAGTCTGTGTTCTGGTGATACATGATTGTGATAACGAGTAAATTTTTTTTTGAGAGATGGCATTGGATTTATGTGAGGGTTTCAGCATATCTCACACTTGATGAATTGACCTTTTTTTTTACACATTATGTTGCACAGGTTCTGGTTTCTGCCAAAGAAGAGCCTGGTCTCCCCATTTCTCCTGCAGTGGATGGTTTGCTTAGGGTCCATAAGCGTGTTGCTGAAATTGACTCAGAATCAGCTTCCAATCCCCCAGGCAATGCAAAAACAGTTTGCACTAGACTACTTGTGGCTGCTACTCAGGCCGGAAGTTTAATTGGGAAGCAAGGATCTACTATTAAGTCTATCCAAGATTGCTCTCAGTGCATCATCCGGGTTCTTGGAGATGGTATATTACTCTTTACTTTTCTGGCATACTTTTGTTATAGGATTTAACCAGCTAATTTCTAGCTGAGAATTCTTGAGTTATATGAGTAGTTTTTATTGCGTGCTGAAGATCTAAAAAAATGTTACTATTGATTTTAATCCTTGCTGCATATAATCTTCGTAGTCAATGTTGTGGACTACAAAATATTACTTTAAATATTTTTTCTGGGCTCAGCCAAAACTCACATTTAAATGTTTATATATTTTTATATATTTGTGTGTGTCTATACACACACACACACTCCCTCTGCTCTGCTTCAGAATGACTTCTAGTGTGGGTTTCAACGCTTGACTGGAGTTATTTGTAATTCAAGTTATTTAAAAAATAGGTGTTAAAACAAATAAAATTTATATATATATATAAATGCTACTTTAAAAGTTCTACAAAACAAGGTGTACAAACCATTATTTTATCAAATGAGTAAGTAAAATTGGAAAAGTAAGTGGTCAAAGTTTGACTCTATGAATAATGAACTTGAAATTCTTTTTGACGGTGTGTATATATTACATCAAACCCAATGCTTATATTATTGTTTGCACATGAATGCTTTATTCATAAATCATATGCTTTGTACCTTGCTTATTGCACTTAGTATTGTATTTTATGTACTGATGATGGTGTTTTGTTGATTTTTCCTGTTTGAGCTCTACCATTTTTTATAATGAGAAGCACCTTTGTTCTACTTTAATTCATTTGGATTGTGATTTATAAATATCTGCAGAGCATCTTCCTATTTTTGCGCTCCCAGACGACAGTGTTGTAGAGGTACAGGGGGAGGCAGAAGGTGTTCACAAAGCAGTGGAAATGATTGCCACACACCTACGGAAGTTTTTGGTTGACCGCGGGGTTATTGGTGTATTTGAAATGCAGGTAAATTTGCTAATCTTGTTTTATATGACAGTATTAATTATTTAAAGAAGATACAAGTACCAAGAGTTTGCATGCTCATATGTCATACCATGTGATCCTAATAATTATTTTTCTCAGATGAAAATCCCCAACGTACGCCCAAACCAAAATATGCCCCCACCTGGTCCTGCCTGGGGTCCCCCTCATCCTGGTTTTCCTGGTGTTGGACCTGGCTTTGGACCCGGCCATCATTATATTCCACCTCGTCAATATGATAACTACTATCAACAGGGGGACATGCCTCCTTTGGACAAACAACCACGCCAACATGTTCCTGGATATGATAGAGATGCATCAATTGGAACTCATGCTACAAGTACGCAGCCACAACAATCTATGGTTACAAAGGTTAGATTCTTTTTCCTTAATGAAGTTAATAAAATTTTGTCGTAGAAAAATAGTCATGCATTTGTTTTTAAATTTGCCAAGTGTAACCAATGTATGCAATTAATCCGCGGTGCCCTTCAACTAGTTTTTTTGTATAATGCTTGTTGGTGATCCTTTTTGGGCAACTTACATAAGAACCAGCTATATTTGATCAAAGGCTTTTACTTCGGACAAAAAAGAAATTTAAATAAATTTGTTTTGGAAATTAGGGAGTGATAAAATGAAATGTTGGAGTTTTCCTTGATCCATAAAAACTTGTGGTGTACACCGGCATTGGATTATGTGCTCTAAATGGGCAATATGTTTCATTGCACGTATTTATTTTATAATTGTATCCACATCATGAAATTCCAACATGTATCCATGGAGTGAAGCAGTTGGGCGCAAATTGGATTCACTAAAGAATCCATTGGACTTTTGCTTTCATCCACTATTTTGTGGCAAGTATTGTTTTATTATTTGTTCTCTCACCATTCCGTGTTTTGCTGTTTATGATTTTTAAGGTCACCCAAAACATGCAAATCCCCTTGTCTTACGCTGATGCCGTGATTGGTGCCTCTGGCTCAAACATTAGTTATATTCGGCGCACTAGTGGTGCAACCATTGCCATACAAGAAACTAGAGGTGTTCCCGGGGAGATGACTGTTGAAATAAATGGGACTGCTTCACAAGTTCAAACTGCCCAGCAATTAATTCAGGTGCTCCTGCACATTGTCGTACCTTATACACGATCTGTCCCAATGTTTTTGTCTATTTGCTTTTTTGGTACATGGACCAAGAAGATTAGAATATAAAGGAAGAAGATGACCAAAGTACCCTTACTTTATGAGTGTTATTGAGTGGATAGGAGTAAAAGAGGCAATGCACCATTTACTACTTTGCCATTAATGGAAAGTAGACAAATACATTTAGGTGACATGAAAACAAGGGGACAACACATCAGGAGAAGAGAGTATTTCTCCTTTGCCTCAGTGTGTGATTTCCCAATCATTTTTTAGTTTGCTCCAAAATAAACTTTTGATTCCTTTTAATGAAATTTTTCACATAGTTTCTCCATCCTTTGCATAAATATCAACCACAAAATTTAATTTTTTTTGTAGATTCTCATTATATACCTTTTCCATTAATTATTGAAATGTTAATAACTTACCAGCTCGTTTTTCATTATGCTTTTGGAAAAACACGCTTAAAAACTAATAATTTCTTGTGATTTAATCTCTGATTCCCTTTTATTCAATATTTGCAGAATTTTGTTGCTGATGTTACAAGCAATTTGCAAAGTGCTGCTGCCGGGCAACCTCCCCAAGGTTACAACCCGTACCCTTCTCACGGCACCGTGTACAATTCACCGCCAACAAGTGCCGCCGGTCACACAGGACAAGCGGTGCCTGGCTCAGATTACGCTTCTCTATATGGAGCCAACTATGGTTATTAGAGTATTATTATTATTATCCTCCACACATTCGTCTAATGAATGCCCTTTATAACTTGAACTTTAATTTTTGTTCATGTTTCCCTTATGGACCCACCTTTGAAGTTTTTCTTTGTCCGAAGTCTCACGAGGGAATGGTAATGGATTACTGTTTTTAGTATTATTATTGCTTTGCTTGGCAATGAGTAGTCAACGATGGAGCTGTCAGCAAAATTAAAGCCAGACAGGCTCATGGGATATGATAACGAAATGAATGCATGAATAAAAAAAGTTTATTGCTTTGTTTGGCACTTTGGCGTACTCTAACATGACCATAATTCGAAAAGTTTTTCAAAACAAAAAAAAGGAAAAAAAGGTGAAGGGAATAATGACAAGTGAATGGGGACCAAATTATTGCCGATCACAACTTCAGAAAATTCAACGAATTTGGTCGGCAGCAGCTAAACATTTGAACACGCGGCAACAGCAGTGGAAATGGTCCTAAGGCTACTGGTGTTAATCCGGTTTTGATGCATGAGGGCGTTAAGCCCTCCCTCCCTGCTATCTCACTGTGATGTTTGTTGCGTCAAACTTTTGAGGGCGTTGGACCCCNTGCTGTTAGCATTTAAAAAAAGTTTTCCTCTATATATTCAATATATTTTTTTAAAATTCAATACACAGAAGTTGATTCAGGAGATTCTACCGAAACCAATTCAGCCAAGTGCACCAAAAAAAGTGCATGTCGGAAGAGTCACAAACCGAAGGGCGACAACTCGATGACCGAAGCGGCACAGTCCATATCCGATGACCCAATGACCGAGGCGTCCGCTTGGGTTGACATCTCCAAGCATCCTATCGTTGGTAAATTTTATTTGTTTTTAATATATATTGTATGTATATTATTTTTTATATATTTGTATTAAAATACTTTTTCCTGCAAGAATTTATTTTTTTAATTTAATGAATTATTGTCATTTAAATTTAATTAAAATGAAGCTTTATTTAATTTAATTTTAAAAGATGTGTATAAAAATGTAAATAATAAATGTTTGAAGCCCTGGTTTGATGCACCGGACTTTTAATCAAGTTCCAACAAAAGTATGAGGTAAATTAAAACTGGCGTGATAAAAAGAGAAATTTTGAAGTCCCGAGCTTCACAGGTATTACGAGTGCTCTAATGGTCAAATTTGAAAAGGAAAAGTGGCGTTATTTACTACTTCATCCGTCCCTAAATATATCTCACACTTCTATTACCGAGGTAAAATATCAAGTTTTTTAAATTCATTTTGTTTACATATTAGTATAGAAATAAAAAATATAATTTATATATCAAAAATATAGTTTTTTTTTGAAATAAGAGGTGTCAAAAATATTTAATTTAATCAAATAACCAATGAAAATGTAGATATAAACAAAAGTTCTCGCGATTGCTAAAAAAGCAAATGTAAGATATATTTAAAAACGGAGGAGTATATGTTTTTTTATATAGAAATAAAAAATGAAATTTACGTATTTAAAACTATATCAACAATTTTCAAAACGAGTAATAACAAGAATCCTTCATTTTATCCCAAAATCAATAAAAATATATAAATAAACAAAAACAAAGACATTCATTTAACGAAACTTTTCCCTCCAAAACTACACGCGCCCTTTCAATATTGAGCTGCGCTGGACCTCTCTTCAATCGTCACCGGGAAACCGCCCTCCATTTTCGAGGTCAAATACGATATGTACACTGGCTCGACGCCCTTCTCCGCCCCGGGGACAACCCTGAACCGCCTCATAACTCCGGCCACCACCCTCTTCATCTGCAGGAATGCCATTTCCTTCCCCAGACAAACCCTGGGTCCCGCTTGGAACACCGGATACACATACGGGTCCCTCCCCACGAAAATCAAATTCCCGCCGGCGTCCCTGTTCAGCCACCGCTCGGGGCGGAACTCCGCCCAGTCCTCCCCCCACAGCTCCTCCGCCCGCCCCATCGCGTACGGATGATAGGCCACCCTCCATCCCTTCTTCACCGCTGTCCCGTCCGGCAGAACATCGTCCTCCTCCGCCGCTTTCGTGTCCACCGGAACCGGAGGGTAAAGCCTCATGGCTTCACACAGCGCCGCGTGCGTGTACACCATGTCCTTCACCTCCTCGTAAACCGCCGCCTCCGATTTCGACTCCACCTCCTTCAAGATCTGGATCTCGACTTCCGGCCTCCGGGAAATCAGCCAGAAAAACCACGTCAGAGCGGCGGAGGTCGTGTCCCGGCCAGCCAGGATGAAGCTGATCACGATATCTGTCACGAATTTCTCCTCGGAGTGGCCGGAGCTCAGGAATCTGGAGAGGAGGTCAACGGAATCGAGCGTTGACTTCTCCTCCAATTCCTTCGTCTTCTCCCTCACGATCTTCTGCGCGAAATCCCGCACCTCGCTAACCGCAATCCGGAGTTTCCGCTCGGATCCGATGTCGAAAAATCGCTTCAATTTCCAGATCTGAGGGGCGATTTCGTTGAATCTGCTGGTGCTGAGCCGAACAGCTTCTTCGAAAGCCACCGCGAATTTCTCGTCCGGTAGCGACGGCGACAGATAGCCGGGATCGCACCCGAACGAGATCTTACAGATATTGTCGAAAGCGAATCTCTGGAGAACGTCCTGAAAATCCAGAACCGTCTTCCCGCCGGCGGCGGAGGCGAGGACGGGAACCAACCGGTCGGAGAGCTCGGCGTCGACGACGGTCTCGACGAACTTCCGGAGCGACCGGGTGTTGAACTCGTGGCTGGCCACCTGTCTCTGGAACTTCCAGCTGTCGCCGTCGACGTTGAAGATCCCGTCGCCGAGGAAATCGGCGAGATTGGCCCGGGAGAAATCGCCTTTTGAGTAAACAGAGAAGCGGGTCTTGAGGATGTGCTGCACGTTTTTGGGATTAGCGGTGAAAACCATGGAGATGCCGGGGCGGTGGAGGGTGAAGGTGAGATTGGGAGAGCTGTGGATGGCGTCGGAGATCCATTGAACCCGGCGGTGTTTGTTTTTGAGCAGGGATGGGTATGAACCGAGCAGTGGGTATGATCTGGGGATCTTACTGCTGGATTTTGATGAGAATATGTGGGAGAAGAAGACGAGGAGGAGGAGGAGGGGGAGAAAACAGAATATCAGAGAAGCTGAGAGGTCGAAATCAAAGAATTCCATTCCCACCAAGTTTGGATATGCATTCAATGATCGACGACTGTCGTGGTTGTGAAGATAACTTTGCATTTTAGGAAGGATATATACGGCCGGTGGACAAAATTGAGTTCGATTCTTTGTCAGCAAACTGTGTTGGCTGACAATTATATTTATAGGGTTTCTGTAATACCAGGTGCAGATTACACCCTTTGACACTAATCTCCAATTAAAGTCTAATTTGCGAGTACTTCCTTTCAGTAATCGTCCGACCGAGTCGATGGGCCTCGGAGACGAAGCTCAATTTATTTATATATATTCACACACGAAAAAAAAAAATAGTACTTGTTTCGGTCTCATTTGATTGGCCGACTGAAATCCGGTAATAAAATGAGACCGAAGCAGGTGTTGCCGTGTTGGGAACCAAGCAAAATCATCCCCCCCAAAAAAACCAAAGCCCTTATTGGGCTGAAATTATTTGTAATGGATTAATGCGTACATGAATGACTATTGTGTACTGATTTTTAAAAAAATAATATAGAATAAGCCCAATTCATGAAGCACCCAAAGAGAACAAACCCTTCTTTGGGCTGAATTGATCTGCGCATTGTCCAACTTCAACCAGCCCAATCACCCGCTCAACCCAATCTCGTACCGTCCCACGTACGGACAAACAAGAATATGAATATTTCGAAATGGTCGGTTCACAATCGCAGAAGCCTGCGCAGAATTTAACAAACATGTGATTCATTCATTCTTTCTTTCTTTTCAGATCTGAATGAACTTCACGTAAACGCTGTGATTGAAGTCACATGATCAACCGGCAACCTCAATCCCACAATTCCTCCTTATCCGACCCGCCCATGCGATTTAGGTCAGCTGTTTCCTTTTCTTTGCTGTTGTTCATTGATGCTTTGAATCCTCTTCCATTATTGGCCATTTCTGTCTTAGCTCCTCCATTTTTCTTGAATTTATTGTGCCCAATTTAGCCCAATTTTTTTTATAGGGTTAGTGGTTTTTTTCGTAATATTGTAGCAAAATTTCCCCTTTTTGAAGCTGGATTGGAGTTTTTTTATATTCTGAGTCTGTACTTCGTTTTACCGCAAGTTAATTGTTGTGGAGATGGGGGGGAAGTTGTGGGTAAGTGAAGAGGACAGGAGTTTGGTTGAAGGGGTGTTGGGGCGGCAGGCGGTTGATTTCTTCAACTGGTCGGCTTCCCACAACCTGCTGTCTGATTTCGTCGCGTCGTGCGGGAATTTGACGGTTCGGCAGAGTCTGTGCAAGATTGTGGAGGATTTCGACTGGGCTTATGCCATCTATTGGCATGTCGCCAAGTCGAAATCGGGCAAATCGGCCTTGATTTGGGGCGACGGGTATTGTTCTTCTGAGGACCGAAACCTGCCCGAGGGAGAAGACAGCAAGAAGAAACATGTTCTTCAGATGATCCGCGCGTGTTTCGTTCGTGATGATTCTAGTCGTGTTTTTGAGACCAAGTTGTTGGATTCTTCCTCTGTTGTATCTGATATTGGAATGTTCTATCTCGCGTCGATGTTTTATGCGTTCCCCTTTGATGTCCCTTCCACTCCTTCGCAGTCGTTTAATTCCAGTAGAACGATTTGGGCTTCCGACTCAAAAACCTCTCTCCAATATTACCAATCAAGATCTCATCTTGCAAAATCAGCCCGTTTCGAGACCTTAGTGTTCATTCCACTAAAATCCGGGGTCGTGGAGCTCGGTTCCATGAGACGTGTTCTTGAAGACCATAATGTGGTTAAGATGGTTCAGAGAACATTGGCTGTAGTGTCTACTAATGTGGCAAGTCATGCCCTACATCCAGATAATTTACCTACTAATAATGTTCCAAGAATATTTGGGCAAGAACTTGTTAGTCTCGGCACAACATTTTCTTCCCCTAAGGTGGAACCAGAATCCGGGTACCCTTCCGACACCTTAAAAGCAATAATAAATGAAGAAGTGGATGAAAAACCGGTTCAACCGAGGAAGAGAGGGAGGAAACCGGCTAACGGAAGAGAAGAACCGCTAAACCACGTGGAAGCCGAGAGGCAGAGGCGCGAGAAGCTCAACCAGAGATTTTATGCGTTGAGGGCAGTTGTCCCAAACATATCGAAGATGGACAAAGCGTCTCTGCTGGGTGATGCGATCACATACATCACCGACCTCCAGGCGAGGGTACGGGCGATGGAATTCGAGAGGGACATGATGAAGGTCGATCCGAATGTTGATGTGCATCAGCGGGCAGAGGACGCGGTTGTAAGGGTAGTGTGCCCTTTGGAAGGGCATCCGGTTTCGAGGGTGGTGAAGGCGTTTAGGGAACATAACGTAGAGGCGCAAGAATCTAACGTGACGATAACGGAGGAAGGGGAAGTGATCCATACATTCTCTGTTCAAACACCAGGTGAGGATTCTTCTGCTGAAGATTTGAAGGAGAAACTGGCTGCTGCTGTACTAGCCAAGTGATGATACTAATTAACATGATGATGCATTAAATCTAATTATATTATGTGTCATGTGTATGTATCATGTATGTACGTATGCATTTAGATGTTCATATAGCAGAAACATCAGAGTAATTATAATGCTCTTGATGATTTGTGTAAAACTAAAAAAAAACTATGTTTGCATGTTCATCTTAATTTCTTTTTTGAGAATTCGAGGAAGAAGTTATTTTTTTAGTACCACTAGCTTTATTATAATGTACTATCTGTTCAAATATATTTTTTCAATATGTTGAAGTGTATAGAGTCAATGGGGTGGCGGTCTTTCCACTCAAGCCAAGCGAGAAACTCTTTCAACGAGCTGATATGCCGTTTACCGTTGGTTTGTTTTACCATTTATTTTTTCCTAAAAAAAAATCTATACACAATTGTATTGCCCTTGTTTCCATTAGATTTAATTAGTTTTTTTAGCACTTATTTTCTTTCCAGTGTAGGTACAAAAATGGGGTTGTTTGAAAATAAGATTTATAGGGTGTTTGAAAATAATATTTGGGGGTGGTATTTCCGTTTATGTTTTTTTGGTTCCATGTGAATGAACAAAATATTTCTTTGAAAAGAAGTGGAGTATACTAAAGAACATTTTGGATTGGAACTATGTTTGGAAAAAAAGGGAAAACTTGTTTGTTTGGAAGATATTTATATTTTCTTACCCGCCCGTTCTTCTGACACTGAACTCAATGTCATAGGATGGCATGAGCTTTCTACGAGACTCAGTTGATAAAATTGATAGTTCCAACCTCTTGCCCCGCGGTCATCCTCTCTTTCAATGATTGGTTACAGTGGTTACTGTAGCCAATCGGCGAGAAAGAGAGAGGGAAGGAGAGTGCGTGTGGATTAAGGAGCAGGAACCATCAATTTTACAAACGGAATCTGGACTATTGAAAATTTGGGTCATTCTATGTCATATATGTATGTATTCTCTTCATACACAATTGAACTTTTTTTTTCTTTTGAAAGAACATTTTCAACCTTGAACCATATCACCTCAAATGGGTACCGCCGTATGTATTTGAATATAGAAAATTATTCAAAAGTAATAAAAAATGCTGCAAAATTGCAAACGTGTTGTTTGAATATCCATCATTTTAGTCATGCAGTTTTAACTTTTAAGGTACTTTCGCCCCCCAAAATTAAAGTTTTTTTCTTTTCTCTTTTAATTAATTTTCGTGATTTGCTTTTTCACCGTAATTTAAAAAAGTTAAATTGTTAAGTTAAAATGTATAGAGGAAAAAGAATAAAATATGGACTACCTCCAGTTCTTTTGAAACCAAAAATTTGTGGATTATTTACCTCCCTTTCTTAATTTCTTCTCATTCGTGCCATAAAATTCATTGTATTTCTTTTTTGAAAATCTCAAAGAAAAAAAACCTTAGATTTACGTACTTTATATTTCATTTTGGTAATGATTACCATTTACTTGGCTACCAACAAGGAAACAATTCCCTCTCCTCTAAAGAGATTTTAAGAGCATATATATATATATATATATATATATATATATATATATATATATATATATATATATATATATATATATATATATATATATATATATATATATATATATATATATGCATGTAACTTTAATTTTCAAAAACTTTATTAAATTTCGTGAAATTAATATTCTTGTAATGTTATGGAAAAGAAGGAGCAACAATACACATTAATTGTTGTGTTATTAGTTATTACTATATCCGTTACAACTTATATTGTATGTTGTGTTTTACGATATTTAATTGATGTTATTTTGAAGACAATTTATTTGAGAATTAAAATAAAGATAAAACATTAAATATTTAAATTTACATATTTTTACGCATTCTTATCACACGAATACTTCAATACCTAGCGGCGGGATCACATATTTGTGTGATCTTGATCACATATTGGCATGAAAGAAAAGAGTATAAAAGAAAATAGAATGAAAGATTAATTATTTGATCAAATTAAATAGAACAATTATTCCGTATATGCACGCATAAATTGATAACATAACTGCTACCTTAATTACCTTTTTGCTAATAGGTTGCACTCTAAATTGAACTTTCTTCGCAAAGTTTAGGTACATACGAGTAACAAAAATACACCATGATTCCAAAAAAAAAGAATATAAAAAATGATAATGTGAGTTCAAAAATGGCTCACAAAAGTGTTATTTCAACAAAACAATTCAAACTGATGAAAATTGAAGGATAAAAGAATGAAAGAATATTATAAGTACAAAATATAAATCAATATTAATGATCTCTTATTAATTGATCTCCGTCGTCACGCCGGCCGGCGACTTAGCTTCATTCTCCGGGGATAGCCGGAACCAGCGAAGTTCTTCTCTCCGACGGGGAGGGCGGAGTTCGTCCCGGGATTAGGCGTCGGAGAGGGGACCGGCTTCCACAGAGATTGTAGCCAGAACGGACGACCTCGTAGCAGCTTCGTTATCATTAGCTTCTCCACGGCCACGACGGCGAAGCTCTTCTCCCCCAGAGTAGCCGCCTCCGCCCCCGCCGCCACCACGGGGGCGTTATTCGTACCGGGATTGGGCCGCGGAGGAGTAACGGTTTTCCATGGGAGAGACGGCAAGAGAAGAACATCATTGTTATTATGTTGAGTATCATATAATGACGATACTCGGGCGGCTTCAACTTCAATTAGGGGATTATTATTATTATTGATACTCATTATTAGTAGTAAAACATAAACAAATTTGGAAACTATAGTAGTACAACAAGGCTGAGGACAATAAGGTTTCATTATTAATGTCGGATCGCTTGTTCCTGTAATTAATGATAAATTAATTACACGATCAATTGTTGTGGGCTTAGCTTGCATGTGTTTAAGTGAAAGAAAGAGGCCGGGGGGCTTATTTATAAGTAAGCTTTTGGCCTATATAATATTCATACTTTGACCGTAGCACTTTGACCGTTTGATATATATACTACTCTCTGTCTCAATTTAAATTGCATGTTTCAGTTTATGATATTTGATTGAAGTTATTTTCAAATTATTTTATATGAAAAAATTATGTAAATAATAAAAATAGATTATATATCCAAAAAATACTTCAAAATATCTACTCCCTCCGTTCTCAAAAACACTTCCTCTTTCATTTTTTCCACTTCCAACAAAACACTTTCCCTTTCTATTTAAAAACCACTTTTACCCTTACTTTTTCCTACCCTACCTATCAGATCATACTTTTTCTCTAATAATCTTTCCATCACATCTTACTTTTACCCATCACATCAGGGGCAAAATTGGAAATCAACTATAATTTAACACTTCCTTATTTTTGCCCCCAAATCAAATGGGAAGGATTTTTCCAAACGGAGGGAGTATAGAACTAGTGGTAATGACATGATTATATTATATTATGAAAACTTTTCTCCTTTCTTTTTTCATCCGTCCCAAAAAACACTTCTTATTTCTATTAAAAAGTCACTTTTACTTCTTACTTTTTCATACCCTACCTATCACATCATACCTTTTTACTAATAATCTACCCATCAAATCCTACTTTTACTCATCACATCAAAGGACATTTTTGGAAATTAAATACCAAAATGCGCTCCCCTTAAATCTCTACAAAATAAAAAAATCTCATATTTTAAGGGACGGAGGGAGTATATTTTATCAAATGACTAAACAAATTAGGAAAAGAAAGTGAATGAATTTTGGAGGGAGTATAACATATATTACGAGTATAAATTACTCCGGTTCGTATTCATTACTGTGCTACTCGTAGAAGAAATATGTATTGGAGTAGAAAAGTACAACCACTTCACAATAAACGAACGTAACTTGAATGGGTCGTATATATGGTAATAATAATAATAATAATAATAATAATAGCAATAAGAATAATAATAATAATGGTAATAATAATAATATACGGAGTAATAGGGTAATAATAATAATAAGAACAACAATGCAATAATAATAATAATTTTTCCATTTTGAAAAACACCACTTCTTTCATTTTTTCTCTTTCCCCAAAACACTTCTATTTTTTATATTATTAAAAAACTACTTTTCCCCCTATTTTTTCTTACACCACATATCACATTATATTTTTTTCACTAATAATCTATATATCACATCTTACTTTTACGCACCACATAAATAACAAAATTGAAAAGTCAACTACAAATATACATTTCTTATTTCACTCATTAGTCAAAATAAGAATTTTTTTTAGAAACGGAGAGAGTAATAATTACTATTATTATTATTTTTATACGAAGTATATAATACTTTCTCCGTTCTATAAAAGTGTTCTTATTTTGACTTTGTGTAAAAATAAGAAAGTGTAAAATTATAGTTGACTTCCAATTTTGCCCTTGATGTGATGGGTAAAAGTAAGATGTGATAGATTGAGTATTAGAAAAAAAGTATGATGTGATAAGTAGGGTATGAAAAAATAAAGGTAAAAATGATTTTTTAATAGAAAGTGGAAGTATTTTGTTGGAAGTAAAAAATGAAAGAAGAAGAGTTTTTGAGAACGGGGGAATACAAATTTGAACGAAAATTACAACCCTATAAATAATTTTCGAAAAATTAAAATCTCACAAAACCTAAGATTTCGGCTTCATATTGATCGACAGTACTATACCTGATAGTATTTCGTAGAATAAAGTTTTTGGTTCTTAATTTTCATTGGAAAAACTATTTAAATTTTGTCAAAATCACTAAACATGCATGCATGCATGTACTCTAGGGTTGAATATAAACAGAAAAGTCAAAAGTTAAAAAAATGAAATTGCTGCGAAACTGAGAGCGCGCGTGATGTTTGAATCCTTTCCTCAGGAATTTCAATGTGACTATGGGCCTGTTTGGGAATAGCGTTAGAGATTAGCGTTAGCGTTTTGAAAAGGTTATCTACGGCCAGCGTTTAGCATTAGCGTTTTCAAAGTAATCTACACCGTTAAAATTTTATCCAAAACGCTAACGCTAATCTCTAACGCTATTCCCAAACAGGCTCTATATACCCATTCAGGCCACATGAAAAAGCT